GTTCAAAACCTAACAATTCTTCACCACACATATTTTTTGATTTGCACCCCAGTATAGTCGACAAAGACGTAGTTCTACGTCAAAACGAACGGAAATTTCGGCAACTGACCCAACGGCAACGAAATAAGGACAATGAATGGAAACTCGGTTCTTGGAATGTCAGAACGTTAAATGAACCTGGACGAGTGGGCCTTCTGGCCCGTGAACTGCAAAAGGTGAATGTGAGTGTGGCTGCTATTCAAGAAGTACGTTGGCTAGATCTGGAGAACGTGAATTCAGGGCGGTAGATCGTATCGCCAACACATCGTTCAAATGCCATATCTACTACAGCGGTGGCGATAGAGCAGAACACGGAGTTGGTTTCGTAGTGATTGGGAAATAGATGAAGCGGGTTATGCGGTGGAAACCGGTTAGCGAGCGCATCTGCGTTTTGAGGATTCATGGCAAATTCTTCAATTACAGCCAGATCAACATCTACGCACCGACTAACGATAAATCCGATGACGTGAAGGACGCGTTTTATGAAAGCCTGGATAAAACCTATGATGAGTGCCCTAAACACGACGTGAAGATTGTCATCGGAGATGCAAACGCGCAGGTCGGAAGAGAGGAATTCTTTCGCCCAATCATTGGAACAGAGAGCCTTCACTCTGCAACGAATGATAATGGCCTGAAGCTGCTCGTGATATGACCATCAGTTGCACCCACTTTGCACGCAAGGATATCCGAAAGCACACCTGGAGACACCCGAATGGCGAAACTTACTCCCAGATTGACCACGTGTTGGTGGATGGTCGGCATTTCTCGGATGTCGTAGATGTCAGGACCTTCAGGGGTCCTAATATCGACTGGGATCACTACCTCGTTGCCGCGAAAATTCGAGCGCGTCTATCGACCATTACGAGTTCGAGAAACCGGAGATCGATGCGTTTCAACATCCAGCGTTTGACAGTAGATGGTGTTGCTGCAGAGTACCACCAGAAGCTGAATGAGCGGATAGCGGAAATCAACGTGAACGAGAATCTCAACAATCTGTGGGAAGCTGTCCACGGAGCGGTGAGCACAACAGCACGAGAGGTGATAGGTACAGCTCAGAGGCGCTCCCGGAACGGGTGGTTTGACGAGGAGTGCCAGCGAGTGACAGAGGAGAAGAACGTCGCCAGAAGCCGGATGTTGGTGTCTGGTACCCGTCAGAACAGAGAGCGGTACAGGGTAGCAAGGTCAGCCGAGAAATGAACCCATCGCAGGAAAAAAGGCAGTACAAAGAACGCGTTATTGCTGAGGCGCAAGAAAGTATGGAGCTGAATGATATGCGAAGGTTTTAAGCAACTGTCAATGACGTGAGGAGTAAGACAGCGCCGTCTCCCGCATGTTCTATGACCGTGAAGGTAATCTGCTGACAGATAAAATGATGGTGGCTGCCAGGTGGAAAGAGTACTTCGAGACGTTGCTGAACGGAGAGAACGAGAGAGCATCTACAAACAGAACACACATCGACGACGCTGGTCAAGCTGTGGAACCACCAACGGTAGAAGAGGTGAAAAAGGCGATACGAGAGCTGAAAAACAGTAATACCCCGTTCACATTACAGCGTATATCACGTGATATACGCTGTCTTGCAATGAGCACTCATACATCTAGTTTTCACTGGAAATCCTATGTATGAGTGCTCATTGCAAGACAGCCTATATTACGTGATATAGGTTGTAATGTGAACGGGGTATAAGGCTGCGGGGAATGACGAGCTCCTGGCCGAACTTCTCAAACACGGAAGTGAGCAGCTGCACCAGATGATCCACCGTATACTGCTCAAGATATGGGAGGAGGAAGAATTGCCCGCTAGTTGGTTGGATGGTCTCGTTTGTCCCCTCTACAAAAAGGGACACAGACTGGAGTGCGCCAATTACAGAGGAATCACGCTGCTGAATTCGGCGTACAAAATATTATCACGTGTTCTGTTCAACAGATTGAGACCGCTTGAGGAATCCTTCGTCGGTGAATACCAAGCTGGTTTTCGTGAGGGTCGATCAACGACGGATCAAATGTTTACCCTGCGTCAAACCCTTGAGAAGTTCCGGGAATACAACTTGCAGACTCATCATCTGTTCATAGATTTCAAGGCAGCGTATGATTCAGTAAAGAGAAACGAGCTATGACGAAACTAATTAGGCTGACTCGTGCAACGCTGGATGGTTCGAAATCATGTGTACGGGTTGCAGACGAGATTTCGGCCTCGTTTGTGACCTTAGATGGGTTGAAGCAGGGAGATGCTCTTTCGAACTTGCTATTCAACATCGCCCTCGAAGGAGCGATTAGGAGAGCTGGCGTGCAGAGGAACGTCACAAAGTCGCACATGCTCCTTGGTTTTGCGGACGACATCGACATCATCGGAATCGACCGTAGAGCAGTGGAAGAGGCGTTCACGCCTTTTAAGAGGGAGACAGCGAGGATTGGTCTCACGATAAATTCTACCAAAACTAAGTACATGGTCGCCGGTAGAAATCGTGGGAGCAATAGTGGTGTTGGTAGTGAAGTGGTGCTAGATGGCGAAAAATTTGAAGTTGTGGACGAATTTGTTTATCTTGGTACTTTAGTGACGTGCGATAATTATGTTACCCGCGAGGTGTAAAAGCGTATTGCAGCCGTGAACAGGGCTTTCTACGGGTTGCGTAGCCAGCTGAAGTCACGCAGCTGGCGTACGGAAACGAAATTCGCGCTGTACAAGACGTTGATTCTGCCGGTAGCCCTTTATGGCCACGAATCGTGGGCATTGATAGAGGCCGATCGGAGAGCTTTCGGTGTCTCCGAGTGTAAAGTGCTGCGAACAATACTCGGCGATAAACTGGAAAATGGCATCTGGCGGCGTCGCATGAATCACGAGTTGTACCAAGTATATAACGGCATGGATATTGTGAAGCTAATAAAACACGGCAGACTACATTGGGCAGGGCATGAGGCACGAATGCCGGAAGAGCGTCAAGCGAAGTCAATATTCAGCAGGGATCCCGGAAGAGGACGTCGGCTTCGGGGTAGGCCACGCACGCGTTTGCTTTGTACAGTTGAGGAGGACATTAGGTCCTTGAACGTCCAAGGCGACTGGAAGCGATTGGCTCAGGACCGAGACCAATGGATACTGTTACTTCGTTCGGCGCAGATTTAAATTCAACGAGTCATCGCCCATCAGTACGTAGTACAAAATTCAATATACGCAAATATGAAATGATATAGTGGCCTATATTTTTGCAGTGCATTAATATTCTATAGAAACTTAAAAAATAAATAAAGATAAATTTCCTGGATTGGAACCCGTGTACTTGGCATGCGATCTACGAACGCTAACCACTACGCCACAAGTGTGTTGGAATACCATGCGGGCAAAAACCAATTTATAATTCATCATGTGTCCAAGTCAGTCAGCTGGCACTGAAAACTCCAACAGTAGGCGGGATAACAGCTCACTTTAATATATCTCAAATGACGTAGCGGTTCGAGCTGGAGCTCTCACGCAGAAGCACTATGTTTTAATTCTTCAAACAGCTCCAATACTACTACTAATGCTGATAAATCCGAGGATAAATCAATACACGTTCATACCTGCCTTAAGAAATAACTTTCATAAAGACCTGACTTTACAATTAAGTTTCATAAAAGTGCGAACTAAATATAAAACTGGTGTAGAGGACAAAAACCTTTTTTAACTTATTTTCTAAAAGTTCCGTTCAAGTTCCGCCAGAAGATGGTTAGAATGCTCTTCAATTATGGTACCGGAACTTTCAAGTTCTTATAACGACTTAAAAATGAGGCTGCTTAGAATTCTATAGACCACCTTCAACCAATCGGTTCTGAGCAAGCAAATCGATTAACGTACCCCATTCTAGTCGAAATTCTAGTACTACACTATGTTTGTTTTGATTTTCTATTGGCGTTGACGGCGACTCTGTAGCTCTTTACTCCTATGGTAAAATCCATAAGCAAACGTCAGACTGTGCGTGAAGCATGGCGGACTTCGTACTATCAACAATCAATACGAAACTAACGATTTTAAATTGGCTCACTACTTGACTAGCCTATTGGTCCCAAGTAAATCGATTAACGTACTCCATTCCAGTCAAAGTTCTAGTACCACACTATGTTTGTTTTGATTCGCTATGAAAGTTTGACAGATAAAATGAGGGGTTATTGGATTTTCCTATGTTTCGAGGGGTGATTCGACTAGCTTGGGACCGAAGATAGTACCAGAGCTGAGCCAAAAAGTTGAGCACGTTTCTTCGGGACCTACTTGTCTTAGAGTTACCTCTATGGTACTATCCTTTCACTCCAACGAAAAATCCCATAAGAAACTGTCAATCTTTTCTAGAAGAGACGATTTTTCGACGGTGCCGTCAACGCAAATGAAAGTTTGACAGATAAAATGAGGGGCTCGTGGATTTTCCTATGTTTCGAGGGGTGCATCGATTAGCTTGGGACCGAAGAGAGTACCAGAGCTGAACCAAAAAGTTGAGCACATTTCTTCGGGGCCTTCTAGTCTTAGGCTAGTCAAGTTGTGAGCCAATTTTAAATCGTTAGTTGCCACCGGTTGCTACTACCACGATAAACTCCATCTGTAATATAGCTTGATCGGAGTTGTTGAGGATAAAGCTTGATTAGAAATAGAGAACAGACATAACAAAAAAAATCCTATCAACACACGTGTATCATCTTTGGCATTACTTCGTGAAGCAGCTTGCCAACAATTTGGTAGTTTCCTTCTACCGGCCCGAGCGAGCTATATTGCAAAGGCAGGGTTTCATGACAAAATGGGAAGAAGATTATATCATTATTGCTTTCCATTTCTGATATAGCGTTATCGGTTGCCTTTTTTGTCGTTTTGAGTTATTTTCGATTCCTTGATAATGACCATAAATGAACCCAAATTGAAACGATGTTTGCCTGTAACAGCCAGTGGTTTTCCCATAGCTTGAATAGTCCCCAATAAACCACTCAACCATCTTTATTTTCAGGTAGTGAGAAAATATTTAGGATAGAAACGTCGGCCGTCGATCGGTCCTACTATCGCCGTTCGGACACGAACCGACAACGGCTGATACACAAGGCCAAGATGAAATCCCTCCGAATATCCGTCGTCATCGTGGTGGTGTTTATCGTCTGCTGGACGCCCTACTACATCATGATGCTGATATTTATGTTCCTAGATCCGACCGAACCGGTAGGTTAAAAGAGCTGTGACATAAATCTTTAATGCAATGATTTCTTGCCCATAGTTGGAGTTATATAGTTATGGTATAAATAATGACGTAATCATTGTTCCCAACTTTTTCCTTCTCCCTGTCAGGTCGGCGTGGACCTGCAGACGGGCATCTTCTTCTTCGGAATGTCCAATAGCCTAATTAACCCCCTGATATATGGCGCTTTCCATTTGATCCCGATCCGACGGCGGCACAATCAGTACAATCAACATGTAAGGTAAATTGGATGTAAATCAGGCGATAATCAGTCGCCGTGCGAAAAACGCTTTCGATTGCAACGTCACCTTGCAGCTTCCTTTGATTGGCTGCTTCATTTGATGGATGGCCCTCTGTTCGACTTGAATTAATTACTTCGCAGCAGGCCGGACTAACAAAAAAAAATAATATTGCCAATTCAGAGAAAAATTAGCGTTTGGCGTGAGATTATCAGCATTAACAGCATGCTGCGGTTATCAGTTGCGTTGAATTTTTTTCCCCATGAAATGGCAATATTAGAGAGTCCGATAGGTGTTTTTTCTCGTTTATTTATTTATTTATCACCGTCATGAAAATACGGGTGTTCTTTTTTTCTGTTCGCTTTATTCGCACGTCGTATATTATGTATGTGTCTCGATGTTAATCGTAATGGTATTGATAATGGCCGATCAATTATCGATAAGGATGTGTCAATTATGTCATTAATTATGGTAATTGTATGCTTACGTTTACACATTTTTGTTTATGTTATCTCAGCTTGATATCACATATTGAGCGCAAGATCAGAAAAAGTAAATTTGTCAATGTTCTGGCTTGTGGAAACAAAAACTGTTTTATTATACGTTGCACAGGAGTCTATATAAAGTGGTGCGAAATGCGCAATAGTATTTTCGTTTTAATTACACATTTTGCACAAGGAGGTGATCACTCGGCACAGTGTGCCGAAAACAGATTCGGAACAATATGGACACAACTGGACACACTAATTGGCACCCATGTTCGGAAATGTACATGAAATTTTTAAAAAACTAGCAACAATGCAATCATCTGACTTGTAGAAACAAAAAAGGTGTCACAAACAACCAAATTGGATTCGTTCCGCATTTCCTCGAACTGATGCAACAATGCCGTAGTGCTCAATCACTTCACGATCTCGCAATCTACTTTCCCTAGCATCGGTCTCTCTTGCAGTTTTACACATTGTTATTCTTAGTGCTACTAATGTCCTCCCCAACCTTAGCACCTTAGCAATTCCACTATAGCAAGCAGTGGTAATCGAAGCAAAGTTTCGTAGCAATTCCAGTGTCTCGCTGCTACGACTCCGTTTCGCAGTCCACATACCAAACATACGAACTGTCAGAAATACCGGGTTACCAAAAATACCAAAAATACCAAAATATTTACTATTCACTAAAAAAATCCGTCAGCACAATGATCGGCACTGCCGACACACTTGGGGCACACTGAGAAAAAATGCAACCTAAGCGGGTTGACTGACTTACCCCTTGATTTTGCACCACTTGAGAATCCTGAAGAGAAAATATTTGCACAGTAATTTTTCGCACATGCCAGAAAATTTAGTGCTTATAATGCTAAAATTAAGTACGCATAATGCTAACGCATAGGTATAACCAGAGGGGGGCACTTACCTCTCCCCTTAACTCGTCAACAAGATTATTTTTCATTGTTGGTTGGAAATGCTATCTAACATGAAGCTTTAGTGTGATAATTCATTAGCTAGAGAGAAAGGTCTGAAGAGGGTAGCTACCCGAGCAAAGCTGAAGATCAAATTGAAATCAAAATTTGCTGTTATGATGTAACTTATTTTGAATCCTCCAGTTTTTTTTTTTTTTTTTTTGTTAATTACTTTATTTGTACAGGCTCAATCGAATAAACTTTACAGAGCCAAGTTATCATTTTCTTTATACATTATAAATGTCTTAAATCTAAAATTAAAGGATTTGAACCGATTACTCGCGGTCTTCTCGAGGTTAGTGGATGACAGTTGTTTGGATCGGGAGAGGAAAAAGGAGATTTGGAATATGATTTATGATTCAAAAATTTCACTATTTCTAAAACATATACTTAATCCTATCGACGTTATATCAACTCTGTAATTATACAATTATTACAGAAACAAATCTACAAAAAAAGACACACACACACATACAAAATACAAACTAAACATAAGGTTAATCAAACTTACAATCTATGGTTAATATTCTTCAAGAAAACATATATGAGTTGCATAAACTCCAGATCGCGTCTAGCCAAAATATCCCGAACTGGAACATTAGGTTGTCTACCTCGAGCCCGAAGGGAATCGTACAACTCGGATCTAACTCCACGGTGCTCAGCACATGACCAAATAATGTGATCTGCGTCCTGGTAACCTTGTCCACATTCACAAAGATTACTGTCCCCCAGCCCAACACGGAACAAGTGAGCGCTTAGTGAATAATGATTGGACATGAGGCGAGACATCACACGAATGAAGTCTCGACCCACCTCCAAACCTTTGAACCAAGGACACTTCGACACCTTAGGGATAATTGAATACAACCATCGTCCCAAACTCCCTTCACTCCATTTATTTTGCCAGCTGGCGAGTGACTGTTGACGATAAATGAAGAAAAATTCGTCGTAGGCGATTTGTCGATCGTAAATATCGCCTTCCATAGCGCCCACCTTTGCAAGCGAGTCCGCCTTCTCATTGCCCGCAATCGAGCAATGAGATGGGACCCTTGCAAAGGTGATGACAAAAGATCTTAAAGATAAAGCACTCAGAAGCTCTCGTATTTTCATGAGAAAATACGAGGAGTGCGCCTCGACAGAACTGAGACTATCCGTAAAAATAAAATAATGATCTGGTGCAAGTGAGGCGATCGTTTCTAGCGTATAATGTATTGCCGCCAGTTCAGCAACATATACGGAACAAGGAGCATGAAGCATTCGAGAGGCGCTATGAAATTCGTTATAAATACCAAAACCTGCGGACGCCTCTATTAGTGATCCATGAATACTCCAGTTGATCTCATTTTGGTTGACTTAACGGTAAACACAGCAAAAATGAGAGCAAAATTTTACACTGTTGAAGCAAACGGAAAACTAATCCTGCTTTCAATTAAATCAATTTGATTACTGATTTTGCATTCATAATGTTTAACTGAATACGGGCCTAGAGTAAATGGTTACCAATCATGTTTCTCAAGCTGAAAGACTTAGGCTCCAATCTCAACGCGGGCAAGTCACGAGTGACTTTAAATGTGTTAAACAAATCAGATAAACGATAATCATTAGTTTAACGACAGATAAATTTCAATTAAATTTTAAACAAGACGTAAACAGCAAAACTTCAAGTTAAGTTGCTTTCATTTAAAACGTCTTGACTGCATAATGAAAGCACAATATGATATCAGACTTATGCCGCAACATTTGAAATCAAAATGAGTTTTCATTATGATAGGAACTGCACACTTTAATATCGATTTGCTTTCATTTTGTTAACCGACTTTGCTCGGGTAGATAGTTCCGCTAGAGTACTGCAGTATTAAAATTGAATAGAAGTTGAAAATGAGCGAAGGGCCATTAATGCGACAGTACTACCGAACTACTGTGTTGCCTGACTTATAACGAATATACGTTGTATACAAGTACCCCGAATACAACGTATAGTTCGTCTAATTTTACATTGCTAATGCTATGCAAAAAAATCTTAGTGTGTGAGCTACGCTTTCTGCCAAATTTCCAGCATTACCATATGGCAATTTGTACTAACTTTTTCCCACCATTTCTCCTCCATCAGGGAAGGGTCGGTGTATTTTCAACGATCATCTACCTGCAACAACCAGAATGGCAACCACCATCAGCAATTATTGCAACAGCCACAACAACAGCAGCAGCAGCCACAACAACAGCAGCAGCAGCCACAACAACAGCTCCATTCACCGCAGCACCATCAAAATCCTTCCCACCATCAGCAGCATCAGGCAAGAAGCAGATATCTTTCTGTTAACAAGCTGTCCCAGTCACACTCGAACCTGGCAGAGGAGATCTCACTGATGGCACTGGAGAAGGATCTCAAAAGCCTGGACGAAAACGTCAACCAAATAAATCTGAAAGGCAGTTCGGGCAGCAAACGCAGCCTGGCCCGAAAGTTCTACACCCTGACCCAGCTACTTCGCCAAACGCGGCCCACTAAGCTTTAAGGCAATTTTCTCGGTGTGCAATAGCAGGATGTACTTAATAAATTAGACAGACAGACAGACGAGACAGAGCTTTAGCATTGTACGATTAACGTGCGTAGGGTTTTAAAAATGCTCAATGATGACAAATGTAACGTGATAAGTGAGAAATTAATGTCGTTAAATTAGTATGTTATGCTCGGAAATAATATAAGTACTACACGAATATTTACACACACACACAAACTGCTGAGGAAGAATCATTTGCTTCAAATCATGGCAAATACAAAGCATTGTTAAAACCAAGAAAAAGAGAGAACGAAAGAATATATATATATATACATAACTGTTTATGCTTTAGACTCGAAACGGAAGACAGTTTTAAACCAGTTGCATTATTGTGTAAAATCAACCAATCAATTCAAATAAGATTTTAAATGAAAGCATAAAGTCGTATATTTTAATACAAAACAAAACAAAAATATCCCAAACGATTGTCTATCATTCAAATTCACATTCCCACATTTATTAATTATACGGTGTTTTTCTCCTGCTCATCATCACGCGCGAGAATCTGTTGATCCGGAGCCAGAGATGTTAGTATTAATAATAATAATGATAAATTCCCACGTATTGCTCTCGATCCTCTTCTCGCTAAATGCAACTATCATCGATACATTAAATCTATACGACTACCGCCTCCACAACCACGATGCACGATTGCACAACATGGCAGGCACCGTTTAGCGCACCAATTATTTATTTATTCACCAAGCTTCTCATTCTATTGGTTAGTCTTGAAACGATGAAACAGTCGATAGAGAAGAAGCAGAAGTTAAATCTTAGGCTAAGTTCAGACTTCAACAACTGCTCTTCAGAACAAAGTTACAGCATTTTACGGATCTATAGCAATCATAAATTATGTTAGCGTTAGCTTCAAGAAAATCCATCAGCATTTGATGTGCAAAATTTTACAGGCCAAGCATGCATTCTTGGCAATCGAATGCCATCCATTGATGGCAATCGAATGTGCAGGAAGGCAGCTTCCACACCTGCGTAGGATATCGCACCGAGTATTAATCCCAGTTTAATCATGGTTGATTAGATTGTAGATCATCTTTTTTTTAATAAATTTTAATCATTTTTGATTTTAATATTTTTTGATTATATATCAGTATTGAAAAAGAATAAAATTTAATACTGGAAAGATTATTTCGATTTTAATCATGCATGACCTCGGGTTTACGTGGGCGAGTCTTGACTTTCTAGAAATCATCTACACTCAAAGATAAATTAAATCAAAAAAGCTTAAAAAGTATGCAGATTCCCGCTTCACCTTATTGAGCCCGAGCCATGATTACTTCGGCAGTAGTCATGCACTCGTTTTTAACTCCATTAATTACAGTTGAAATTTCGTAATTAAAGTACATTAATTACATTTTCATCAACACAACAATGGCGCATCAACACAACAATGTGCTTATCAAATCGACTATGTGTGATACATTGTAATTAAAAACGTTCAGCATTAAATAGAATACGTTTGTGCGTCTCTTTATATGGATAATATATTTTTAATGCATCAGTGAACTTTAAAAAATGCCATCTATTATCAGAATAGATTAACGTATGTTGTGTCGATTAGTTCTGAAATCATAAATTAAGAAAAAAAAAACAAAATGAAAGATACATTGAAAATTAGCAACGTTCATCATCGATTCCAGTATCAATGCTGTCCTCGTCGCTGTCACCAGCATCGGAATAAGCTGAATCAAGAAGAAGAGATCCGGCATCTTCTGACAGTGGCATTTGTTTTTTGTCAGGAAGTGCCCTTAACGAGGAGATGAGGGGATCAGACGATTCTAGGAGCCGATTTAACAGGTCTGTGTTTGTTGCTGTCCGTGAAAATTTTCGTGTGTGGTCCAATCGATATCGTTTAATGTCCTTATTCCGACATTCTTGGGCCTCTTCCGACAATTGCCCAATTGGCACAAGAAAATGGCTTATGATATGGGATCCATGCATAAGAACTTTGTGTACAGTCACCGGTAGATAAAACCAGGAGTAATTCTTGATTAAATCTCTTGCCGTTTCAAAACAATACTCTTCAAACTTTTGAAAGTCAATTTCCAATCCCGAAGCCAGAACTTCTAGTATTATTTTGCATCTATACAGCAATGCAGGGTTCAATCCGGTGATCTCAGCTGACTTCTCCCAGTTCTGCACGCCGCTTCCACTGTTTCCGTCATTCGAAGTTCTAGATCCTCCTGAACGAGGTTTGTCGACGATCAATCCTGTTTCCACGTGGAACCGTTCTTGTATTTGTTTCTTCCTCTGTCGCATTGCCTCATTATCAGCTCCTCTGGCTTGCCATTTTTTGATATCCAAACGATACGAGATGTGAAGGAAATATTCATAAAAACGTATCCATGCATGTAATGTGCAAAGACCAAATCGAAAATTATCCTTGTTTGTTGAGCGTTGATGTATTTTGGAGAGATCGTTCATTTGGATAGGCGCAAATGTAGCACCTTTGGGCAGATTTTGTAGACGTTACCGATTTGCACACTTTTCCGTCTACCATTGTCATGAGCATATCATATTTGACAACGATATTCTTCCTGTTTATCGTCAGCTTCAATGGTTGCAAATCCGAGATCTGTTGTTCAATGTAGTCGTTTTCTTTAGCCGGTACCTCGATTGTTTCAGTTAGGAACTGAATATGAACTGGACGACAGTAGCGTGTTGAAGACGGTCGAGGGTTCTGAAAAAGGCACTTCTCGCCGCTTCGAGCAATAATGGGAACAATAGATGTAATGAGCATGTTGGAATCCGATTTAGCTGCATCATCGCAGTCAAATCGTGGCTTATACTCGGCGTGACCGGAACTGCCATTAAACCTCCATTTAACGGTAAGCACGACGTCGAGCAGTTCACTTTCTGAAAATTCATCAAGCTTTGAAGTATTCGCGTCGATAATTCTTGCTGCAGTATGGTCCAACAATTCTTGAAGTTTCACTTCGACAACGTCTTCGGTAACGGTGATGGCTTCGCTATCTGGGTAGCAAGCTTTTTAGCAGACAACATTTCGTGGTAGTTCGGATACAACTTAGCATTTCTCGTGTTTGCGCCACGTCTCATTTTAAGGTATTGAGATTTTGTCAAATCAGCATCAAAAATCAATGCCAACGCCTCATTATTTGAGTACGGCATGATCTTGGGCTGGCATGTTTGGCCGGAGTAGGTGTCGTACACGTGGCATTCCGGACAACAGTAGCTTCGTTACTTCTCCCGCACGATCGTAATTTCATCTGAGCTGCGTAGCATAGCTCACTTGCTGCATAATTTTTACGAAGGTCAGCTGTCTTTTGCCTTTTAACGATATCGGTACAGTCATCAAAAGACAACGGCTTTACCGTTAGATGTAGACGGAAGTTCATTCATAATTGCTTACGGTAATCGAAAAGTATTCAACGTTCTGCTCGAAAACATTGCTCAAGGTTCGGTTGTGCTTATCCCACAGCCTCTTAAAGTATTTGCACAGATTCTCTGCGATTTCAAATACCTTTGAATGAACCTCTGGCATGAGGTCGGCATCGATGTCGAATTTGCTCAAAATATGTTGAGCCACAGAAAGACACTTAGTTTCAGGTGCTCCATTGGCTTTCCATAAGTGAAACAAGTCATGTTTGTCGATACATCTATCTATCTATATATATAAAAATGAATTTCTGTCTGTATGTCTGTCTGACCCTTATAGACTCGGAAACTACTGAACCGATTGGCGTGAAAATTTGTATACAGGGGTTTTTGGGGCCGTGGAAGGTTCTTATGATGGTTCGAGACCCCTCCCCCTTCTGTAAGGGGGGGCTCCCATACAAATGGAACAGAAATTTCTGCATAACTCGAGAACTAATCAAGCAAATGGAACCAAATTAGGCATGTGGGGGCGAGTGTGGGGGTATAAGGAGATAATCATAGGGGGTAGCCCCTTAGATAATAGGGGGGGGGGGGCTACGTACAATATAGCATGCTTTTTTTTAAATCGGCGCATAAACTCAAGCTAATATTGAATCCCGAGCAAGACCGGGCACACTCAGCTAGTTCTATATAAAACAAATTATCTTGTAGCATCTAATCATGTTCAAGCAGCTATCAATACAAGGCATTAAAAATAAAAATACGAACGTACCTGACGAAGTCAAACGTTTTTCGGACTCCATTTTCAATTAATCGTTTTCCATCAGCGGTCTTGTTATACTGCATTAAATTTGACAAATCTCAACCGAACTGAGCTGCAAGCTGCACTTCACAATTCACTTTCTTCTAAGCACCTCACGTAAAGCCAATTTCATAAGCACATTGTTGTGTTGATGCGCCAGCTAAACGTTTTTATCATGGCTTACTAGGATCATGGTGTGAAGCCGAAAAAGCTATACAGTGTTGTTTGAATGAGAGATGACGTGTTGTAGAGGTTGGATGTTGTTGGTAGTATGGCAAATGTATTTCTAACATGCCAAGCGTAGAACCTATCAGAACCTAATGAAACCACTTGTATTTTGTAGTTCAAAGGCATACTTTTTGAATGAAAATGGTTTGTTCTCCAGATATTTTGCGTAGAAAATGACCTATTTTTATGTTAAAATATTGAATAACTTTTGATAGGTATTATATAGTATTTGATAGTATTTGCATTATCTACAACTTTGCTCAAGATGCCAACCACTTTTGAGCATGTTTACAAAATTTGAATTTTCTATTGCCCTTCTAGGTGGATAGATCCTAATTTTACTTACTTCAAAACAAAGCTTACAAAGTATCTAACAACTTCTCTCAAGACACTACCCTTCCAAAATGACGTTTACATTCCCAAAATAAAAAAACGCACGTTTTCGGTAGGTTTGAACCACTGTGCCCTGGTTCGAACCGTTCGAACCATACATAACATTTTTTGTATGGTTTGAACGAAAACAAGAATATGGGTGATTGTTTTCAATAGCTGTTAGGCTCTTTTTTCAACTCTGTATTGAAATAAATTATGTTTGAATGGAGTATCCGATTTGTTTGATAACAGGAATAAGGGTGAAATAACTTTTGAAATGATAGGGTAGACTGGTAGGCTATGTCCGACCATTTATAGGGTCCCATTACAGGACTGGTAGCGATCACTGCTGTCAAAAATAGTGATTTTAGTGACCATGTTGTAGAAATAAGTGACCAACTAGTGACTTATAGTTGTAAAAATAGTGACTAAAAAGTAACCTAAGAGAAAAGAAAAGTTTGATGTTTTAGACTTATTCAACAAGTATCTCATAAACACTTATGTACGATAGGAACCTTTAAAACGAAAGATTCAATAGAATGTTTATGTCCAAACCCACGGTATTAGTCAGGGTGTCTACTAACTGCAAAAACCTGGAAAACCTGGAATCATCAGGAAATTTTATTTTTCCTTAAAATACCTGGAAGGCTCAGAGAATTTAATAATTTTCTTACTAAGGATATTTAAAGAACAAAATGAATTTTAAAATACAAGCATTTAATGTTTCTCGTTTTTCGAACTTTATAGATCCACAGTGAACTAATATTCAGTAACAATTAAATTTAAAAAAAGCAGAGGCTTTTTTTGGTTAGGAACATGCATATTTCCTAGAAATTTTAAATTTGAACTAGTTCTCGACTTAAAAGCTATAATACTTCAAGAAATTTTCAAGAATCTGGAGTAAAAATCCATGCACAGTTTTAAAGGTCGTTGAATTTTATTATAATTTCTTTTGAAACCTGAAAGTTTTGAGTAAAATTTCAAGAAACCCTGAATTGAATTAAAAGCAAATTTTAATGAAAACTCTGAAAATTTCTGAGGAGCACAATCCTTCAGAGCAAAATTCCAAGGGCCTTCTGAGGATATATTTTTATAAAGTTATGGAAGAAAACCAATCCGGAGCATAAGTCTAAGGCAAACTTTTTGAAAATACTAAAAGGAGGATTACAATTAAATTTGATAATAACTCCAGAACATCTTCAAAGGAATTCGAAGTGTGTGTAGAATTCTAAGGGAAGGAGTGAGATTCAAAAAGGGAATCTGAAATGAAATCAATATGAAAATTCGGAGAATTTTTCCAAAGGCTTTCTTATTGTGAAGAATTTTAAGGTAATTCCGAGGAAAACTAAAATAAAATTGAATAGGCAGGATAGCTTTATTGAAATGTTGAGGAATATTTCAATGGAAATCAGAACTACTTGAAAGTTCCCAAATTTTTCCCGAAGTTAATGAAACTGCCTTGAAGTTCTTTTGTAGTTTGAGAAACTAGCTGGATGCTCACAATACTTCTCATCAAATTCTTAAACTTTCCTGAACTTTATAGGACTTCCTAAAGTTTCCTCAATGTTTCTAACGTTGCCTTGAAGTTTTCTACAATTTTCCTTAAGTATTATAACTATTATAAACGCTCACTTATTTTTCCTGAACTTATCTATGGTTACCTGAACTTCTCTAAATTTGTTTAATAATCCGGTAAATTTTCTGATATATATATACATAATTCCCTGACGCTTCTGACGTTTTCGGATCAATCATAGAATTCATGGAATACCCCATAATTCCATGGAACTCCTTGTAAGTCTCTGCAAAATTGCTTAAGTTCATGGGATTATTCTGAAGCTATCTGATCGTCCTTGAAATACTCGGAACTTCGCTGATTATCATGAAACTATCTAAAAGTATCTAAATTTATAATAAGTTCTCTAGAATTGCTTGAAGATATCACTGATTGCTAAAAGTTCTCGCTTTTTTTTTATTAATGGAACTTCGTTGATTTTCTCTAATCAATTTAGCTAAATTTTCGCATTTTTTAAGTTCTTGAAATCTCCATAGTATAACACGCTTAAAATACTCTCACGTTTTCCGGATGTTCATATAATTTTTATCACGTTCCACAAATTCTCTCGGAGCTTTGCTGAAGTTTCCGGAAATTCCCTGAGTTTCTCGCAACATCTTTAAGGTTTCTACAAGTTCCTTGAAATTATTTGAACTGCCCTTTGATTCTCTAATCTGTCTTGATGTTCTCGAAGCTTCCCTAAAACTCTCAATTCTATTGAAGATCTCGGTTCTGCTCGGAAATAAATGGAATTCCCGTAAACACCTTTAAATTTCCCTAAAATTCTCGGAACATCTTAAAGGTTCTTGACAGCACATCATGGAACTATCCTGATTTTTTTTCTAAATGTACGATTATAGATCTTTAAACTGCTCCAAAAGTCTAGACTAAAGCTACGGAAACTGTTTCTCAAGTTCGCTTGACACCTGTGAAGTTCTCTGACATTCTAGGAACTTCATAAAAGTTCCCGAAAATTTTCGTTTGCTAAAAGAACCGCTTTGAGGTTATTAAAGCTTCCAGTAAGTTTCTCATATTTTCAGCGTATTCACTTTCCTTATGTTCCCGCAGTTTGTTTATGGAGCTTCACTAAAACTCTCAGCATTTCTTTTCACTACTCAGAACTTCTCCAAAGTTCCTACAATTACGAACTTAAAATACATTATTTATTTTTTCCTTGATTCTGGCACTTTGAAAATTTTCAATATCTTGAACATGGAATACGAAACTTCAAGATATTGAAAAATTTTAGATTTTAGACTTACTCAAATTAAGTAAGTTTTTTTTTAACTTTATTACATTAGAAATTAAGTAAATGTTAAACTTCAACATTCAATGGATTTGATTCTAAACCTGTTTCTTGAAAACTGATTGCCATGGCTTAAAAAAGTTTGGGTAAATTGCTGTTGTTTTTGATCTACCAAAAAAAGCATATTTTTAACGCATTTAAAAAATAGCTTTCGTATTATAAACCTGGAATTTATCCGTTAAATAACTGGAAAAATTTGGAAAACTCAGGTAATTCTATGAAAAAACAGTAGACACCCTGTAGATAGAGAAAGACGATTAAACGCCACAAAGCAAAGAATGATCAATCTTGAAATAAATTCACGCTAAAAAAGTTGAAAATAGTGACTGATTACAAGAAAAAGTGACTTTAGTGACTTGACCTTAAAAAAAAGAGACTTTTTAGTGACTGGCTTGAAAAAAGTGACCAAGTCACTAAAAAGTGACTCGCTACCAGCCTTGCCATATGCAAGTCGAGTCGAGCGCAGTGACCAGAAGTGACGCTCGACTCGACTTACATAATAGGGGCCATAATCTACCATCGGGGCCTCAGGTTCCCAAAAGGACTTCGGATATTTTCATTCACGATTGATCCTATTTCTAATTTAATTTTATTCAGTATTATATATCAAGAAACTTACATCAGACACATTTTTTTTTGCTTGCTTGAAGAATAAACTAAAACACTCCATTGCTGCCGGTACCTTGTGCAAGTCTACCGAGGGTCAATTTTCTTAGTTTTGTGAAGAACTATTATTCATTATGATTACGATAAGTTGAATAAGACATAATGTTCCATTTTTATGACATAACAAATTGTATGAAAGCACTGCAGCAGCCACGGTTGACTTAATCCGAGCCCGAGCCCGAAACTGATTTCCTCGAAATTGGTGATGCCTGAGGGCTACCGGAGCCGGAGCGAGATCTCGAACGGGATGGCGAGCGACTGCCGGAGCGAGATTTTGAACCGGATCGCGAACGACTTCCGGACTTAGATCGGGAACGCGAACGACTCTTCGACTTGGATCGAGATCTGGACACGGAACGGGAAGCACTACGGCTCCGGCTGCCGGATTTCGAGCGAGACCGGGACCGGGACCTATCGGATCCACTTTCCGAACCAGAAGCGATTCTGCGTTTACGTTTAGTTGACGGTCCACTATTGCCGGAACCGGATTCGTCACCACTGGCAATCTTGAGACGGCTTCTGTCGCTGTCGGATTCGCTAGTGGAAACCGTGGCTTTGGAAACGATTCTCGACTTTTGCTTGGATGATAATCCATCTTCCATGTGCTTCTGCTTTTTGGCACCCAGAGAGCCCTTCTTGCGACCTCGCTTCTTCGGTCCTGTATCCTCTTCGCTGTCGGAGCCACCGGACCCCTTGGGAGCCTTTTCCTTCTTCTTCCGCCCACCTCCTGGTTTCCGCTTCTTTTTCTCACCCGGTTCCTTGCGTTTGCGATCCTCTCCGCCACTACCCGCTGGCCCAGAAGCATCCGAGTCGGAAATGTAGTCCTTCCGGCCTCTGCCGGCCTTCTTCTTTGTTGGATCTGGTCCGCTCTCGACGAAGAACAGGGCATTCTTGGTTTTCTCCTTGTACTCTTGACGTCTGGTCATCATATCTTCGTGCGCCTTGCGACGCATCTCCTCCATACGAGTGCGCTCATCCATCTGGCGCCGTTTGAATTCTTCGCGTTCCTGTTCCTGTTTCTGGCGCAGTGATCTTTCTTCTTCGTCGATCTTGCGGGCACGAGACACATGGTACTGGGCTTGCTGCAACAGATCCTGACATTGGCTAGCTTCGGACGCTGCCAAAGTAATATTGTAGCGTGTTTTGTCGCCATGGATCGACAGATAGTTGAAGTACTTGTGAGCCAACCCCAGCTCATGAACCGCTTGCAGGACAACACTCAGAATGGATTTCTCATCCTTCAGGACCATCATGGCCAACCGTTGCAACACCAGGGCAATGTTGAACAACAGAACTGTATCTTGCGGAGCAACGCGACGGGCCTTGAGCAGGGTCATTTTCGCTTCCTTCAGCTTACCGGCACGGAAATACGCACGCGCCAGATACTGCATCACGTCCACATTGTTGTGCTTGTAGAACTTCTTCAGACAGTTCTCGTACATCTGAATCGCGCTGATGTACTGCTTCTGCTCGACGTAGATGTGTGCAATGTTGAGCCACACGTCGCAAAAGTCAGCCGTTGCTTCGCGAACCTGCAGAATTGAATGTTGATTGATTAAAGGCGAATGTCACCCTAGTCTAAATCAGACTCACCTGGGCGAATATATCACGCGCCTCGATAATGCATCCTTTATGGGCCAATACAGCCCCGATTCCATTGGCAGCCCAGATGTTTTTCGGATCATTTCGCAACACCTGCTTGTAGATGGCCAGGGCTTTCTCCTGATGTTTCTTCTCCTTCTCCTTGTCCTTGCTAGGTTGATGCAAGCTCTGCAGCCAAAAGTTGCCCAACGCAATCAACGAATAGGCATCGCTCGAGGTGGCTGGATTCTTCAGAATCGTTTCGAAATTCTTCTGTCCAAGAGTCCACTGCATCTTGGCCAAATGCAAATTACCCAGCAATGAACGCGTGTCCGGATTTTCCATGTTGATCTTCAGGGCATCCTTGAAGAAATCGGATGCGACGAAAATAAGACCCTTATCACGAGCCATACAACCGAGTCTCAAGTAGCAATCAATGTAGTTGGGATGTTCCTTAAGAATGTCCTTGTAGAGCTTATCGGCCTTGTCGAAGGAAGCCATCGCTTCGTTCAACCGGGCCAAGTTGTAGGTCATCGTGACCGAAATAGAATCGTAGTATTGTGAATCGTGCTGGGCTTCAAGTTTCGCTCTTTCAATGGCCATCTCCAGCTTGGTCATTGCCTCGCTCAGATTGCCCAAGCGATAGTGCAGCGCTGCAACGTTGTTCAAAATTTCCGGTGGAATATCTGCTCTCACCTTTTCGGTCAGGATATGCGTTGCGGTTGCATAGGCTTGCAGTGAGCCCTGCAGGTCGTTCTGTTCTAAAATTTGGGCCAATTCAATCCAAGCTTCCACGTCATCTGGAAACTGCTCAGTGACCTTCTTCAGATGGTTCTTGGCAATGTCCCGCTTCGATTGGGAAGACGAGCTGGCGTACAACGATCCGAGGATCTTCATCGTTTCATAGTTGCCGGGTTGGGCTTTCAGCACTTTCTCGAAACATTGAGCGGCCTAAAACGCACGAAAATGAGACTAAGTTGACTTCCATGAAAATTCCAAACCGATAATAACTTACATTCTCCGAATCCCCTCTGTAGATGTACATCTGTCCCAGTCCAAAATGAGGAAGCACAAAATTAACCGGAGCAAACTGCGTCGATTGATAGTAGTATTGGAAAGCCTGATCGTAGTCCCGTTGTACATGAAAAGCCCGAGCCAACTGGTAACAACTTTCCGCTCGCATTGCTTCGTTTTCCGTATTGTGGAACGCATGCAATGCCAAATGCTGCACCTTCTGGTAGTCCTTTTTGAAGAAGAAATGATTCGCCAAGTGGTTCAACACCATCGGATTGGTCGAATCGATAGTGTACGCTTTGGAAAGCATTTGAACGCCAACACGATTCGATTCCGGTTCGTGGAGATTCAGCTTCAAAATAGCCAAACCAACGAGCGCTCCCACGCACTGTGGATCCAATTCCAGAGCCCGTTGGAAAGCCAGCTTTGCCTTCTCCTGGTTGTTCACCTTCAGGAAGCAGTGTCCCATTCCGAGACGCACCGCAGCCGGACAATTAGGATTCGTTCGAAGCGCCTTCTTGTAGAATGCCAAAGCACCTCGGTAGTCCTTTTTGTTGAATGCAATACAAGCCTTACCCAACAGGGATGGGATGTTCGACGGCGACTGATTCAGCACGAAATTGAACTGTGCATCAGCTTGCTCCATTTTGTCCCCTTCCAAGAGGCAGAAGTAAGCCCGACCCAGCAAATGGTTCTGATCGTACATAATGATCTTGTCGGCCGTCGTGTACAAATGCGTCGCCTTCATGAACAGCTCCCTCTTCTTGTCCTTGGACTTTTCCCTGTTCGCTTCCTGTACGTAGTACGCGGCCAACATGTCGTACGCACGCATCTGATCTTTCTCGAAGTCCCTATACGAGATGTTTGCATCGATTCGGGATGCTTCCAGTATCTTGATGAAATCATCTGTCTTGTTTTGCTTATAATAGGCAAGCTAAAATTCAACGATAAAAATAATCACATACTTTTCAACCTTCAATAAAACACTCCATTAACTCACCGCAACGGTCACCCAAGTATTAAGCTGGGAACGCTCCTGTCGCAATATTCCCAACACTTCTTCCCCCTCTGGTAGCTGTTCCGGATCGAGCTCGATGACCTACAAACGAATCAAAACAAAAATTCATCACTAGCGCTATGCCCCCAGACTCAACCACCATCAAATGCTCTTCTTATTCTTCCGGGCACCAATATTATTCTTTTTGCCACCCTGACAACCTTTTTCCAATGCGATGCGTCATGGCCATCGGAAATCAATTTTCTTACCTCGTCCGTGTCCCGGAGCGGAATTTCTATTGGTGCCGACATTGTTCCGCCCGCTGCTGAACAGTTGAGCACTGGTTTCCGCCACTTGCGAGCACTTTTTCGCGGTGAAAAACTGAATTTTATCCAAAGGGTAAATCGAATGCGAAATTTTTTCTCCCGAAACGGCAAACAACGCGACGGTTGAAAGTGACAGCCGCTTGATGGAAACTGGGGGGGGATGTGCTGTCAAATCAACCTACTGATCATCTTGTATGAAACTGGTTCCAAACGTAAACAAACGCTGTAGGTTTCTTATGGCTTGTTTACGTTTGGAACCAGTTATGCGAGGTAGGCGACGATTGTTCGTATTTGACAGCCACCTCCCCCCCTTGGATGGAAAGCGGTGACAGAGCTGTCATGGCCGGAATGGTGTTTGTGCTTTTTGCCGAGTGTCTCCAGAGACAGGGAACGAGATGTTGGAACACGGCCGATGAGAGAACTCAGAATTGGGTTTTCAGCCTAAAGCCTGGTTCGCCTCTGAGAATTGGGTTGTTTAGGGGTATTGAGGTAAATACATATTCATTATCTGCATTAAAAATAGAACCTAAATCCAAAATTTCATCAATGTTGGTACACTGGAACTATTTTAAATACGTACGATTACATTAGCAAAAATCACCATCTTAGCCGAGGGGGACGACTCTATCTACGTTGCAGGAAAGATTGTGTTTTGCTATGGCTACCCGTATAAGCGCGAACCATAAATTGACCTTACCGATAATGGTTATAAATTGTTTATAATCCCTGCTAAACTTCAACTGAAATGGTTATGGAACTTTACATGAACGTTGAATGATAAAGTTTTAACCTTAAGTATTATAGTTTTTTGGAAGTGGACCTTACAAATAATGGGTTGTTAAAAACCATTACCATTCAAAATTCTTGTTTTCTCCATACATTTTCGGAAAGAAAACTATACTAAAACCTTTTAACTTATGGTTTGAGAACATTAACGGTAATGGTTATGGTAACCAGTAAGGTCCATAAATGGTTTTGTAACATCGATCAACTTTATGTGGAATATATCGTGAATTGGTAATCAGTAATTTACAGGCAACCAATTCGCGATATATTCCACATAAAGTTGATAGATGTTACAAAACCATTCATGGACCTTACTGGTTACCATAACCATTACCATTAATGTTCTCAAACCATAAGTAAAAAGGTTTTAGTATAGTTTTCTTTCCGAAAATGTATGGAGAAAACAAGAATTTTGAATGGTAATGGTTCTTAACAACCCATTATTTGTAAGGTCCACTTCCAAAAAACTATAATACTTAAGGTTAAAACTTTATCATTAAACGTTCATGTAAAGTTCCATAACTATTTCAGTTGAAGTTCAGCAGGGATTATAAACAATTTATAACCATTATCGGTAAGGTCAATTTATGGTTCGCGCTTATGTGGGTAGCTGCGCGCACACTGAGTAGATAGAAAGAAGATTGACGACGATTCTGAAGATTTCCTGCAAAAAGATGATGCACGATGCAAGTAGATGCGAGGAATGAAAGAAGATTTTTCGAAAATTGATTCGCTAGTGTGAGATTTGTTGAGCATCTAGACTTGAGATTTAGATAAGTCGCCCCCCTCTCGGGTATGAGGCTATTGCAAATATCTATTTAACTCACACATAAACTGGATATGGATTTTTCTCAGTGTATGATTACCAATTCACGATATATTCCACGTACAGTTGGGTATTTTGCGTTTACCGTGTACACGATAATGACATCCTGTCATTAGGTTCTGCAGCGTGACGTCACAAATGAACTCAGTGTTAAACGGCTGAACCTTTTTGACAGTCCAGTGGTACTGTTTACAAGCACTTAGTCGTTTTTTCGAAAAAATATATTTTAAAATTTCCGAATTTTAACTTGAAAATTGTTGAGGAAATGCGTGGTGAAAGGATGTTGCTCGTGGACATTGCAAAAGTGTGGTTTACAGCTCACTGCAATCTGAAAAATTATCCAGAAAATCTACCCAAGAAAAAATCGACTAAGTCCACGTAAACAGTACCACTGAACTGTCATCAGATTGAGGTTAACCCCGACGGTGCAAAACCTAATTGCGGGCTGGCTCCGTCTGTCAGTGCAAAAATGTAAACATTTCTATAGAGATTGCTAAAGTATGATTGTGTAAGTGATTTGTATTCATCGGGAAAATTTTCCGCTATGAAGTTTTTTTTTCCCGATGAAAACATTTTGCGTATACGTATACACTGAACCAAAACATGCGCAATACTTCGAATGACTATTGCATTGCTAGAGCCCTTTAACAATATGCATTCGAATTTCGGATGATTTTCTTATGGTTGAATTCGTCGTCAGATGATGAACATCCATATGACTGTCATCCAAATACAGGATGATTTTCGTTTGAAAATTAGCTATACAACATATGGCACTCAGAGGACAAACATTTTAGAATAGTGTGACATGCAAGTGCTTTTAATTAGATTTATAATATGATTATCTACATTTCCATACTGAAAAGCCTTAATAAGCCATTCCATTATGGATACAAAATTTTTTCGTGATGGAGAAAACCTCCTCCACCACGAACTAGCCAAACATTGGTTTTCATGCTTTACCTATGTTCGTAACAGCTCTGATAGCGATGCATATGCTTCCACCTCGTTTGTCAGCTCAGATCAGCAATTGTCAGCTCAGATCGTTCGATAGAATTATTTACATCATCGTTTTGAATGATTTGCGTTATGGGGCTGAACCAATACCATATGCATTTCCATTTAGTATGACAGTCATTCTACAGAGAGCATTACGCATTTCAACTGAAGGCCCTATCCCTTCTCATAACAATTTTCATCCTGTATTCGAGAGGAAAATCATCTGATTCCAAAACAACCGTCATTCGGTTGCAGCCATCATTGGAAAAAGCGATTTCGGTGTTTTGTTTTGAATGGTCTGAGGTTTCATTCGATCAGAGGATGATGTTTGTGTACAGTGTACGTGACGCACACTACGTACGACAAACGTCAGCAATCTCTATGCTTGAGGTTTACACGGTAATCGCAAAAAACTCTTTTATGACTATAAAGTACACATTTTTGAATGAAAACGGGACTACCCACAAAATGAGTAAAATTTTACACATTTATGAGTAATTACTAGTATAAAAATGAATAAATTTTATGCATTTATGAGTACCAGATACTCATTAAATGTGTAAAAAATACACACATTTTAGGTGTAGTCCCGTTTTAGCCGAATATGCATACTGTATAGTCAAAATTGAGTCCTTTATAGTCATTTTTGCGTATTTTGCGGTTTCCGTGTAGTTATGTAAATTTCGTTTTTGTAGTGAAAAACATTCACACAATAATCGTGTAAAACACTATCTAAAAAGTAGAAAAATCCACCAAAAATGGCATTTCGCTACGTCCGATTTGCCTCGTCGTTTACTCGGAACAATATGGAAGCATTCAAACGAAAACAAACCGCTTTGCAAAGTCGACTCGATGCGGTCCAGTTTCCAGAAAAATACAAAGGAACCATCCTGGAGAAATGGGCCCTGTACTGGAAGAACCTGGTACGTGACTACAAGGATATGATCATCGACACCGGTAAGACAATGCGGGACCGGCCGGTCCGGAGTGGAATCTACCTGACACTCCTCGGTTCGACCTACTACTGCTGTGTCAACAATCCGGATGAGGCCGATTTCATGAATCGTTTCCGCCAGTACAGTAATGAACTGCAACTGGTGCATCCGAGCTGCCAAAATCCGGAAGCTTCCAGGCACATTCAGTTTCTGCAGCGGTGCTACAATGAAGGTATTGTTCGGCGGATATCGCTCGGAGTTGTGTCCTTTATTTGGTTGAATAATTTTGACCGAGGAGTGGCCATTTACCAGGCTATCTGTCCGTACTTACAACCACGCTATATGACCTTCCACGAGCGGATCGTCGACGTTGGCTTCAACAACGAGTGGTGGAATTTGAAGAAGAAGATGGTAGATTACGATATTAACGAAGAAAGCTTTCAGGAATAAACTGTAGTGTTATCAAAAAAATAGCAATTGTTATTTGTTTTTGATCGATGAAAGCTTCGAAATGGTATCCTTATTAGGGTGTAACAGCTCTCGTAAACAATTACTTCTCTCGGCTCGTCCACGCAAATCAACACCACCATAGGGCAAGGAGGGGAAGTTATGTTGGTCTGCGTGGGTGGGCCTTGCATTCTTAAGCTGTTACGCGTTAATTCCGGCACTAACTAGCATTAAACATGAGGTGTTTCTTTGCCATTCTATTGCGCTGATAACGAGTTTGGTTTTGATTCATTATATTCGCTAAACATTTATTACTTACAATAGTAATCACTATTAGTACGCTTAAAATACATAATCAGTAATTGTGTGTAGGATGTATTGAATAATTATTATCCATACACAATAGACAAGAAAAGAGTTATTTTCAAACGACTTTCCATTTCCATCATCAACCGTATTATTACTGAGGAGGTTTTAGTAAAAACCACCAACAGTCATCACTCTGAATTGCGTTCCTTTCTCGGTCAATTTTTTTGCTTCTCATCCGCCATGAACGTTCTTCATGCCACGATTAATATTTTTTACAATTTTGTTCAGACAAGAACATGCCTTTTAAACTCGCTAAGATCTATAACACACTAGCCTATAATAGTAAAAGTTGTCGGAATAGAGTTCCTGTTCCTATATTATGTTGGGGAAGTGCGCAACTATACTTGATGACAGAAGCAAGAAAGCAGTTTTAGAATGTGTGGCAAAGCTTTGCATAATAGTAGCATTCAAATCCTGTCATACCCAAGGGAGGCGCAGGGTAGAATGCAGAGCAAGAAATACACACTCAATAGAAATGTTCTACAGGAGATTTATAATCCCTTTTTGCCCTGTTTGTACGGCATATAAACTTATGATACAAGGGGAGTCACCTTTGCTGTTTAACTAAGTTAATTTCATCAATGTTTAAAATCTAAAGCAATTAATTCACAATCCGTCGCTGCAAATCTCACAGTAGACTTAGAACCATTCGTGCGTCATTACTTTCACAAAATTCTCACTTGTCGCTTTCCGATTCGTTTTCTCCCGGTGTAAAACTATTTATTATAAATATGTTTGTGATTCATAAAAATAGATCGGTAATCGCACAATGGTGAATTAAATTAAAATCCTATTCAAACAAGTAAAACATCTGAGTCTAAATTAGAGAAAGTGACTAAATCACTCACACGCACATTAACGAAACGAAAGAGGGAAAGCGTCGTAAAATTGCTATAACAAAATGAAGGTACCGTTTTACGCATAACTGTCCCATGTTCTATGCCATCCTTAAGCACCGTGGAACAGTTGTGCGTATAACGGCAATATAATAGTATCGTGATAATTATTGTAATATCAACTAACAAGCAATCTCTATCAGTAAGAGTTATTATAATATATGCAATCTAATTGTATTATGTACAATTGGCTTCTATTGTTGTATAATTATGTGGCAGCTATGTGCGTACACTCTCAAATGGGACAATCGATCGAGTGTTGAGAATAGAATAGTTTTTAAAACAACTTCCTGTTAAGAGATGGCGCTGAGTCCGTGATAGTAAGCATTTGAATTTGGCATTGAGAAAAACCAAAAATGAACTCTATCATGTTTTTTTTAATTATTATTTCGTTTGATCAGTCGTCGATTCGAGCAGTTTAGCGACAGTGCTGCCACCAAGTTATCAACATGCGCAAAATAATCTTATATTTTTATCGATTTTCGTACGGCTGCGCTTCCGAATAAAATATTCAATCCCAGATGGACTTGATGGCCGTAAGAGAGTCTGTAATAGAAGAGAGGAAAAATTGGTGAAAATTCGTTTCGAAGTGTTGTATAGTTCAAAATTGTATGATCTAAAAATTAAAAGTGTAAGAAAATTAATGGATTTTTTCGAACAGTTTTAGGAATGGACCACTTCGAAAGCGATGCAAAAATTACGTCCACTCTTGAGTGAGGGGGTGTGCTAGACTTTGTGACGGTACGTGTATAATAGAAATCAAGAGCAACTTTTCATTACGTCTAAAGTAACAAAGGCCAGCTATCAGTGTCAATTGATGCTCCTGCTATTACACTATATTTTATCCGAATATAGAATCACATCCCATTTTTTAATTTATTTAATTTTTTTGACGTAATCACCTTCCGATCAAAATATTTCACCTTGGCGATTACTTGAGTCCATACAGTGACTTGACTAAACGACACACTGCATTCGTAGGTGCTGTAACGCTTCTTTCAGGTCACCGTGAAGGTAAGCTGTCTTCACGTCCATTTAGTGGAAGAAGAAATTCTGCTGCAAACCAGCCGCGAGAACCTTGCGTATAGTGCCAAGCTTACCACTGGAGCGAAAGTCTCCTAGTAGTCGACGCCACCTTTTTTAGGAATCCGTTTGCGATGAACGTCGCCTTGTACTTCACAGGATTACCGTCTTTCAGTCGCAACACGCACTTCGTTTTCAAAGGTTTTATTCCATTTGGACAACTCAAGACACGCCCGATCTTGTTCTCGTCCATGGAACGTGGGTTATCTTGTATGACCGCCAACCAGTCACCCGATCAGCATGATCTGCCAGCTCATCAAAATATACGGGTACATATGTGGAAACCAATTCACCAGAAGTGGCTCTGTAACCGATGATGTAGTCAAACAACTTACCGGGAAGCCGCACTCCCGTCCGCAAGGCCTCAACATCGATTCACTTTGAATTTCGCGTTGTTCTGTGTGCGAAAGGGGAGTGCTTCATAGGGTTCAGTAGTTCCAGGGTCGATTTCAACATCATGGTTGGGTTGATTTGATTCATCGAAGTTTTCGTTTTCACCACAGGCTTGATCGACTTCATTTCAGGGACTGGTTGAACGCTTTTCACCTCTTGCTCTAACGAGAAGTTAACGATTAAGGGAAGGATGACTCGTCGAACTTAACATCACGGGCAATTGCAATTTTTCGAGCAACCATTCCATCACCATTTCCGGGATCCAGCTGTTTTGCGCTGCTGTTTTGGAATCCTCACGAAGGTCTTGCAGCCAAACACACGAAGCTTGTCCATATTTGGCTTGACACCAAACCACAACTCAGCAGGAGTAGCACTAAACGGCAGCACACTTGTAGGACTTCTGTTCAATCAAGGTTCAGTTAAACCTCAGTTAAACATCAGGCACAGCATAAAGGGAGCCAGAAGAAAAGTGCACCCGTTCAAGCAGCACGCAAAACGGCGTGGTCCATCATCTCGCGATTGTCCGTAAATTTAAGTTAGCAGTGTGTGAAACTGTGGTGTCGGGCGCGATCGAAGGAAGAATACACCCGGATGGTGGATCCGACAACCGACCGTGTATCAGAGGGATCGATCAAACGTCGTTAAAGCTTGCCGACGACAGGTTCACCGTGTGCGCTCAGGTCAAGGCAACGACGCCAAAATGCGATCTTCCGGACAGACGCTACCTATGAAGAACCACTGCGTGTGGCCAAAAAGACCTTAGAAGAGAATTAAGTCGCCCTACACCAACAGTCGTCACATGAAAACTAAGGGGAAATGCGGCCCCAGGGCCTTTTGTTTTGTATTGCTATTCCACAGGTCAGACCACTCAGTAGCGGCGAGGGCCAGTGCGGCTGGTCTGTTGCGTAATTCTGGCGAGGTCATCGCCAGACACAACGGAAGAGGGTTATCCGGAGCGGACTCTAAACCATGGAAGACAATGGGTGCCCATTGTGCTGTGTGTGTGGAGCATGTCAAACGGGCGAGCCGCAAGATCATCGGTGCGGTAATCTAGCGGCGGTAAGGGTGCACTCAGCAGCATTGAGTGAGTACTCTTAAGAAAATGTAAGCGGAAAGAAGAAGAGAAAAGATGCAGGGAAGTGAGAGCAGGAAAGGTCGAAGAGAGATAGGAGATGAGGTTAGGCAGGAGGAAACTATGCCGGCACAATAAATCAATGTAAATGTTAATGCTACCCCAATTTTGATTTCAATGGTGCACATTCCCCCAGTCTTTGCGTTTTAGCCCATTCATAGGTAGTCTGCTCTACCGCTACCTGTATATTGCAACAATGTATCTAGATACATCCCATGTTGGCAGGTCGATTGGTCCGCACACATCAAGTGGCCGGCTGGCCCTGACACGTGTTCTTTTAAACGGTTCCTAGCACTGCTTACTTTGGATACACGCATCGCAGAAATCGTTTCATCCATAACTTTTAGCATTTCTTGACGGGCCAAGATCTCCCATCCGCGTTGGCCAATATGAGTTGACGATCCAGCTTCCGTCCAACAGTGATTCGCTTGTGTTTCATCGAATGATAGCTCAAGATAATAGAAATTTCCTCGGAAATGTTCTGCAGCCAACACCTTACCACCATCCTTCTTCAGCACCGATACGCTTTCAGAACATAGTACATGAATTCCTGCTTCAGCTATCTTCTTGATTGACATGATACTTTCACGCATCTCAAGAACATTAAGGACATAATTCATGTTGAATTCTACGCCTTTGTTGCTCATTGCGTTCATTTTACCAATTTTCCCTTCAACCGTGTGTCCTGCCTTGGCCACATTTATCTCTACTTGGTTGTCCTTCTTTCGCAGAACTGCAAACACGCTCACGAGGTGGTCGCTGCACCTGGAATCCTCGTCGTCCACATTTATGACACTTGTCGATGAACTTCTGGAATCTCTTCTTTGATCCACCAGAAAAAAGCTACCGACTTATCTTCCACGGTATCACCCTGCCGGTCCGACCGCTTGCTGCCCTCAGCCAATTAACGCTGTTTCCCGAGATTTAAAGTCAAGTTCTTCGCGACGATTTCCAGGATCGTGACGAGAGAGTCAAACGAGTCAGGTAACGTAAAAATAGCTGCGAAACCAGATCTCCTTCCACTAACGTAGCTCCCCTAATAAAAATGGCATGGAATAGTTCTATGATAGAACTTCTATCATTTGGGTTATCGTTCGGGTATGGTATTTTTGTATTAGGGTACAACAGTCTACAAATTCCTCACCAGGTCGGCGAATTCCAGCAAATGAGTCATCATATCCGCCCGAGCCAGTTGCATCCGTATGATCGTCTGGCTGAGAACGGATTTCTTGGCAAAAGTGGTTGTTAAACTGATCCACATATCCTTGGTGGTAGCCTTCTCTCGGATGATTTCAAGACACTCTTCCGATAGGCCAGTAACGCTTTCGAATTTAGCTTTTTCAACTGCTGCTTCCGGTGCCTCTCCGCGACACCATTAGCCTTACGCAGAAGCTCCAATTGTTTTAATCGGTTTCGCTTCCTTGCAGTAACGGGATGTTACCGGTAATGTCCATTGCGCATACCCATAACCTATAGACTCAGGAACATGCAGAGTTAACAAGAACAGAACAGTAGTAGTTTTATTGAGCGTTTGTACATCAAAACTTGAACTACAGCAAATTTTCAATTTTCACTAACATTTGCGTTGCCGAGCTTTGCTAGAGATGCTCAGCAATTCAGGGAAATAGGGGACTAAGACCGATTGCTTACTACGTCAACATTTTTTTTTTCAATATCAACAAGCACAATGTAATGACAAAACAAACCATCATTCGAGTTGCGTTGAACCTTTTGATTTTGTCAGACATAAATTAATGCGCGGAATTAAGCACTGCGCAGAATTATCAACCGGTGGAAACTAACGATTTTAAATTGGATCACTACTTGACTAGCCTATTGGTCCCAAGCAAATCGATTAACGTACCCCATTCTAGTCGAAATTCTAGTACTACACTATGTTTGTTTTGATTCGCTATGAAAGTTTGACAGATAAAATGAGGGGTTATTGGTTTTTCCTATGTTTCGAGGGGTGAATCGATTAGCTTGGGACCGAAGGGAGTACCAGAGCTGAGCCAAAAAGTTGAGCACGTTATTTCGGGACCTTCTAGTCTTAGATTTACCTCTATGGAATTATGGCACTTTGCGATACTTTTGTACGGTGCATAAACGGAACATAGTTATAAATAAAGGCCCACGCATACTGCGTCCGTTGGCTATCCGTTGCGCCAAATCTGATGCACAATAGATTTGGCTGTCACTTTGCCGCACAGTATCACTTAAAGGCCCAAGCGCAATTACAGCGGAAGCGGAACGGCAGCGGAAAAGCCCGATCTGAGTAAGCCAACTTGTCGGATTGAAAACTTGTTGGAACCAAATCGACTTCGGTTAGGCATCTTGATGTCATTTGTAACAACTGTCAAACTTTCCGTTTCCGTTCCGCTTCAGTCCACATTGCGTTTGGGCGATACAATGTGTGTCGGTCTTAGGAATCCGATCAAAATACAGATCAAGCGAGAAACAGTTTGAATGGTAAAACTCAGAAATGAAGCGAGCAAAATCTTAAAACGGCAAATCAAAACGTCTACAAAATTAAAAGAACTCTACCTACTGAAATAATCCCTTAAAAACCAAAACCATAACCGAGTCAGAAGTAGGCAGAAGCCAGATCAGTCAATTTATAGTACCTATAGATGACCATTCGGTCGGATGACGCTGTCTAGAAAAACAGATGCTGTGATGACGATGGGAAAATGGATGCGTTGCTGCTGTTGTCGGTACTGTTTCCGATGGTATTGTTAGTTTTGCAATTGTTGTTGATCATCGCGACAGTATTGTTGTTGTTGGTCAACAAAAGCGACGGTGAGGACGATGAAGATGAGAATGATTGCGAAGAACTACTACTACCGATCGAGCTAGCCGACGTGGGCTTTGTTGATCGAGGCTGACCGGTACTGTTAGGGACCTGCGCTGGTGCTAGAAAGTGTAACTCGACAGTCGATGTCGGCTCAAAGTGACGACCACTTAGCTCAGCCTGCGCTAACGAGGTGAAATCTACAAACGTTCCACTAGTGCCTGCTAGATATTATCTCTCAACTACTGTACAATTGTTGGCGCCATCGAAAGCCATATCTTCCGAATGCGACGATTGGTTTGGATTGTTTTCCTCATTACCGGAAGTCGGATTAGGGTTGTCTATTTCCATATCACTACTATTGTTGTCGTTGTCATTGTTGTTCGACAGTTCATTGTTCACATTCCTCAGTACGACCACGTTGGGTTGAATGGGAATGATTTCGCTACAATTTGAGCCACGGTCATCCTCATCGTCTTCATCTTCGACGTTGGGAATTGGCACCGGAGCCTCGGATTCATCGTCACTAAACTGAGACGATATCTCGGCATGACTATTCATCTGAGATTCGGGAGTATTGGGAATAATCTCGTCGATATCGTTTTCCGCGTTAGAATCGCGATTTTCCTCATCTTCATCAATAGTTTTACCATTCAACTTTTCCGATCTTGTCTCATCGATCGGATGTTCGTCTTTGTTACTCTTTGTGTCATCGCTAGAACTAGTCTCGTGTTGTGTTTCATCGAATGAGCTATCTGTACCTGTTTGTGCTACCGTTGGAAGGCCGAGGACAGTCCCGGCAGCTACCGCCGCCAGTTCTGGATCGAGAGCCATGGCGGAAATCGAAGTCGTAGATGGATAGATTGGATTGATCTTACAGGTGGTCGTTTTGGCAATGACCGGATTCGTAACGGTAATTGGCAACTCCAACGACGTGGGCACATTCGGATTACCCGGAACGCCAATGACGGCAGCAAGACTTTCGTCGAGATTCGAAGAAGCGGGCTCCATTGCTCTCTGCTCGGGAAAGTTGGCGGACGCTTCGGCTCCGTTTCCGTTTTTGGTGGGGACTTCCACGGCTGACATGATCGGTGGTTTCGTGAGAACGGCATTCGTTTCGACGGTCGTATTCGGATTCACCTGGATGATTTCTCCCGGTAGGGGTGGATCTAGATTGGGAAGGGCATTGTTAGTTTCTTTGCTAGACTAGAATGATTGCATGGTGGATATACAATACCTTGCAGATCGATCAACGATTCTGATGCCACAATGATCTGGGTTCCCTCGGCAGCAACAATTCCAAGGCCTGGTTGACTTACGGCAAGTGCTGCCAGCAGCTCTTGCGCCGAACCTGTTGTTTTAGGTCGAGAATTTGAATTGTTTCGTGATTAGTGATTGCAATAATTTGCGGGAGACCTTTTTCCAATAAAATCGTAATTAAAGCTTGATTAATGTATTTCCTAAATAATAAAGACTAATTGACTTTAAACGTACGTAAAACAGTTTTTTTTTTAAATTATATGGTATACCTACTTTTTATTGATATTAATACTTAGTGATAATTAGTGATTTTCGTTATCTGTAATCTGTTCCTTATTGATGAAATTAATTATTTCGATCAAGTAATGTTGTTTAAATCCTTAAGGACATTTTACCGGTGAACTGATGTTGATACAAATTTTTGCCACACATGCGTCAAACAAAATTAAATAGATTAAGCCAAAGTAGGCCAAATTGAGTGCGTGCACCCGGTTGGTCTATTATTTGCCGATTTATTTCAAATGAAACAATACTGTGTGTTGGTAACTTGGAAGGTAAAATCACGACTTTTCAGGGGAGCCTTAGAATTTATCGGCGAAGTTCATAGGACTTCTGGGGGGTATTTTTCAAAGGGACTTTTCGGGAATGTTCATACGCCTTCCCGGCTATTAGTAGGCACCCATGAGGTCAAATTACAGCTCAAACTAAAGTCGTCCTAAAATGCTGGCATTTCGTCACATCGATTATCGAGATGAAACGACACCTCCTTTCACCGATACTCTATCACCGCTCTTTCAATTTGTTTAATAGAGGAAATGGCTCTAATGTTGGCCTATGGATCTAAGATTGGGCCCATCGCTAAAAGTCTGCTATTTATCAATTTTATCTACACTGAGAAAATAATTCGTTCGAATTTCATACGAAATGCTTTTAACCAAAAGAATTTGTTTTGAATTTCATACGATAGCATTATGAACGCACGCCTTCGTTATCGCTTATGATTTTCGCTATATATTTTTGTTATATATGAGTTTCATAAAGCTGTCGTATGAAAATAGTACGTTATGCTTATGAAAACCATATTTCATTCATATGGATTTTGAATGAGTGGAATACGGAATATAATCGTATCAACTATGAAATCGTGAATATTTATTCTCCTTCAGATTTTGTTTTATGTTTCATGTGAAATTAATTTAATTTAGTAAAACAAACAATTAAATAATTTGATTTGCATTGTTTATTTGATTTAACCTGCAGCTAAAATAAATCAATTGAAAAAATATATTAGTTTATATTAGCACGAGACAATGCCTTAAATATCTTTTGCTTGGTCCACGTTATTAAGGCTGCCGTATTTACACCACACTCTGTAATTTTAGTCGAAAATCATTGATTAAATGGTAATATAGATGCTATTTTGTACCCGGAACATCCTTCAACACTGAATTTAGCGTTTTTTGCCTCGAACACAGGCAAAGCATCCACTGGAACCTTGAGATCCGATAATAATTGCTGTTCGTACGCCATATTGTTTTGCTTTGAACAAACGTCATACGATCGTTTCATACGAACGACGTATAATTTTTTTCACACAAGATAAACTAATAAAGTTCATTGTAGTCTCGTATGAACTTCTAACGTGTTTCGTATGAAAATCATAATTGAGACGTGCAATTTGTATAAACCTGCTATGGAAAACATACGTGTCGTGAAATTTTTTTCACAGTTCAAAATGCTCGTTCATACGAAACGTATTATAAAAATCTTAATTCTAGTTTTCTCAGTGACATTTCCCCTATGCGTTATGTCTCGTTCTCGTTACCAGTGGTGGCACGAGTCCTGGAGTTTAACATTTTTTCCATAACATTTGATACTTTTTGCGATAACCATTGTGACGACACACAAAAACAAATTGGCAAGCGGCAAAAATGTCATGACATTTCTAAACTGTTTTCTGCCAGCGACAGAACATTTTCGCACAAAGAAGCAGACAAGACCGGCGGCGCGCGCGACTTAAATTTATGTCATGTAGAATTTTGCTGATTTCTGGCTAATTACTGCATTTATTTGATGTTTATTGCATGGAATTAAAAGATAAGAATGAAGACTGACCACTCATAAGCATTGATGTTTAAATTATGCGTAAATAAGAAAGTTGGTAATTTACAGTCACACGCAAGCCTGCAGCTAAAATTTCATTACAATAAACTGTTTGGAAAAATCAGGCTGCGAGATTTTATTTATTCTCTATCTCCGCTGTTCGCTTGGAATGTAGTTATAAACGGCCGCCCGTGTGCTGGCTGTTTTGTTTCGCTCTGGACGATGGTTTTTCAAAAAATGTACTGCTGCCACCTCTGCTCGTTACTTTATTTTAGATAAATATGTTGATAAAAGATAAATCCCATACATCCCAACACAAATACACTAAATCTGTTTACGTTAATATATGGTCGATTTCACCAATATTTTTAGTGCACATGACATGTAATGCAGGTCAAAGTTACTAACGTTATGTAACATTTGAGATGTTCTAAATACAGATCAGTTACGTAATATTACAAGTAAATCGGACGTGAAGAATTGCGGCACATAACTTTCAATGGATTTTTCAAAGTGATATCTAAAACCTGTCAATTTCGCTTTCAGAGTGTCACAATCAGCAATTTTATGATTCGTGAGCATTCACTCAGAGTGAGCGCGCGCGATTCGTAGAATAATTGATTGTGACTATCTGCAAGTAGATTTGACATGTTTTGTGTGTCAGACACTCTTCTTGTGTCTAATATGTGCGAAGTATTATTATTGCATCTAGTGGTTTCGAGATTCCGAGGATCATTTTTTGTGGCGGATGAGTGGAAGCAGGCATTGTGGAGGGTGTTTCAATATTTTTTTTTTTTTCGTTACATCATATTTGAACGGGTCCTAATAAGCCCAAGGGACAATTTGTTCGTTGCACTTATTTGACCTTTTTTGAATAGTATTGGGTATGGTGGAACAAGTCTACTTAATTTATTTATATGTTTGTTTGTTAACATTAACAGGTTCCAATGCTAGTTTGAAAGAGCAAACCTTCATTGGGGTTGCATTGAACCTGCTGATATTGACAAACAAATAAATGATTAAATGTACAAGCTGACCCATCTTGCCCCACCTTAGCCTAAAGTGAGTACATTTAAGAGCATGATCTTATCTGAGCGATAAAATGCAGATTGGATTGACTTGTAAGTCCGTTCCTGTCGTAAAGGTTTTCTTTGACAGCTCTGGGCCTAATAAATACGTTAGAGGACTAATTTTTCAAACCTGTAGGAAAGGTGATTTTTTTATTATCATAATTTTGCTTTACTTAATCAACCGTTACATGATCACACGAATAAAATAGTATGCTTCCAAAGAGATCTTAACTAGCGTTATACCCTAGTATAACAAAAAACTAACTGTTGTTCGTTATTAGGATATTTAGTAGTAAAACGAAACAATAAAGTCCGGGAATACATCTTAACGGTTACAGTTAATGTGCTGTTCTTACACATTGGAAATTCGAAACTAGACATAAGGTATGAGTAAAATAATATTTCCGCGTTAAAAAGCTGATTTCAACAATGCACGACAGCACCCAAATTGGATTCGTCTCTAACCTGCAGATTAGATTTTGGTTCCCTTCCGCTCGCCAAGTGTGTATTATGTAAGGTATATTAAAAGATTGCAACAAAACAGAATCCTAGCCTCAGATCACACAAACACGGAAACATCAAACACACCGCAACAGAATAAGCCTATTTTTGTTTTCTATAGCTAGTTAGTAGAGCGCGACAGAGTCTAGGTAGTAGTTTGTTTGTTTTTTTGTTTGCGTGCATGATATTCAACGATCGGATTCGATTTCGACTAAGCCATATCGGGATCAATTTCTTCGACCGAATCGGAAGTGGTGAGTATGCTACCTATAAACAAAAGAACACAAAAACGAAAAAAAGAAGAGAGAAAAACGAAATTTTGGTTGAGGATTTTGTTCCAGAATTTTAGAAATTACTTCTAGGAAGGAATGCTACATTTACAGAGTTTCATTTTTTTTATGGGAATAGGCATAGGGAACGATCTACAAAAGAAGAAGAACGGACACGTAAACTGTTTTGGGTGTTGTTTCTGTGTATATAAGTGAGCGAGCGAAAGAGAAACAAAAGCTAGTAGCTACTACTATCACTACTACCAACAAACTAAACGACTGCTGCGCTAAGCGGGAAGGTTAGGAGGACATTACTAGAATGGTACAATGGGAACAAAGTTTCCAATGGCTTGATTTAGAAATCCGAAACATGCAGTTAATACGTTAGTCGAAACCTGCAATTCGTACCAGTCTAATCTCTATCATTTTGAGGACATGCATTAGATGAGCAAAGAAGCGGAAAAGCTCAACTGAGGCTGTACTCACCCTGCAGTAAAATTTGCTGTCCATCGGGGGTAAGTAATTGGGACGTGTCGCCTCCTGCTGCCAGCGCCATTAGACTCTGCTGGTCCAGAATGATCTGCTGACCATCCTGAGTATTCAATAGGATATTCTGCTGACCAGCTTCGATGCTGCCTTCTCCGTCGACGGTGGCGGTTGCTGTAACCACCGTAGCTTGCTCACTGCCAGCTGGGATTTCCAGCACCTCCGCTTGATTTACAATGTCCTCCACGGAAGCATGCTCCGGAAGGGCTACCAACTGGTTTGACGAATCCAGATAGAGCAGTTCGTTGTTGACGGGAACGAATCCCTCTTCTCGGACCGAGCAAAGATAGAAAAGATTCGACGGGCCACCAAAGTTTTCCGCAGGAACGGCAATCAGCTGAGACGATTCCTGCACGTTAGAACCGGATTCAGTTGCTTCGGTGGTTACTTCTGCTGACACTGGGACCGGAGCGGACTCGGAAGGTTCATCCACTGGTGTTGTCGATGCCTCTTTTTCAACAGGCCTGCTACTCTCCGCTTCTGGCTCTTTGATAGCGGCATCTGCTTCGTTTTCTTCCGTAGATGACGGTTCTGTCGGAACAGTTTCTACTACCTCTGCTGGAGACGATGGCCTCTCTAGAGACTCTGAAGACGAAGCAGCTAGCGCTATATCCGTGAGTTCTTCCACTTCCATTGGAGCTGCTGGAATTTCTTTGACGGAAGAATCAGCCGCTGCTGCCACTACAACTTCAGCCGGGGCTTCGGTTGGTGGTGGAGGCGTCGGAGTTGACGTTGAAGGTTCTTCGTCAACTGAATCCGCTCGAGGCGTTTTCTTCGGTTCTTCAGGGAGCGGTTTTTGCTGTTGCAGCTGGTTCTGCTCTTGCCGGAACTTCTTCATACCACTGGCGGTGAGTACTTTACCTTGGCCTTTGTCTTCGACCATCCCTAACCGAGTGAACTCCTTGAGCTTCTGTGGTGAGATTTTGATTACCTTGTGAGGTTTCTTACCGGGGCTTACCGCCGATGAAGTGGCGGGTTGAGGTTTAATGGGAGCCCCCTTGGATGTGGAAAACAGTGGTTTTCCGCTACTGGACGTACTAGCATCAGAGTGCTTCTTCATTAGAACCTTCTTTGGCGGAAATGTGCTGCTGGAGGGCGTCTTTTTCTGGCTGGTAGCTGAGTCCACAGCTTTTGATCGCGCTTTTGAGGGAGAATGAATTATTTCCTGGGATTGCACGCATATCTTGATAGAGGATTTGATGGGTGTTTCGCTCGAACTTCGATGACTGGTGGGCGCAGAGGGTGTCGGAGGTGATTTGGAAGTGGAACTGCTAATCGTGCCAACGCTGCTCACCGATGAGACGATGCTTCCAACTTTTGCAGGGGTTACGTGGGTTTTGGGACCTCCTGTTCGGCTGGACCTGGCCGAAGAAGTGGCTGGGGATTGAGTTGTGAGGACAGTTCCTTTGCTGGTAATGACGATTTGTCCGCCGCTACTGGACTGGACCAGCTGTGCACCTCGAATCGGAGGAGAATGAGCTGGTGATCGGGTCGCCTTCGGTGAAAGTTGATCGGCTGGAGGTTTAATGGTAATAGTGGTAGATTTAATGCCCAGATTCTTCTTCGAAACAGGTGATGTAATCTCACGGGGTGGCGATTCTTTTGAACCGACTATTTTAGAAGATCCATTGCTGTTTTTCACGATCACAAGCTTCTTCGTCATGGGTTTAGCCGACGGAATTGGTTGGACAGTCTCTTCGGTTGATTTTTGATTACTCGTGGTCGTGGTCGAGATGGTGGAATCGTCAATCAGTTCACTGTCATCCATGACAATGGGGATGTTGTCGATGTCGAACTTATCCTCATCGACCTGGGCAATGTTGGCTGCTTCGGTTACGGCTGGCTCATCGAGTACAATGCTCACAGGAGCGTCACTTACAACCTCTACAGTTTCACGTATTTTCTTCTCTGGAATGGTTACGGTTTCAAACATGTTCGGTTGTTGTGGCTGTTCCACCAGTTCAGGACTGCTCATCAATGTCTGCAAATGTCGCTTCCTGGGATTGATGGTCTTTGCGGTGGCCACTGTTGTCGTGGGAATAGGTGAACTGCTGTTGGGTTTGATTTCTATCATTTCCTGATCCTCGACGACGACGGGTTTCGGAGGAGTCACATCTGGTAGATGGATGAGAGCTTCTGCAATTTGAAGATCCGTTGCACTTGGATCAGTAGAAACGAGATTGCTCGACGGCGTTTCTTCGGGAATTTTGTCACTTGCTTTGGGTGGCTCGGTCCTAAGCTTGGATCGTTTGCTCTTCAGCGATTTTATCGAAGTACTCTGCACAAGAGTAGCGTCCTCTGGTGGTGTGTCTACGACCAATGGTTCAACTGGTTCTTCTACTGGAGTCTTTTTCCTCTTGGAACTTTTCGGCGACTTGGGCAGTTTCTCTTTCACTTCATCTTCCTTCGGTTCTGGAGATACAACAGTAGGTTCATAGAGAAGTTCCGAGTTGGATTTCCTACCCTTTGATTTGATGATCATTTTGATGGGCTGTTGCTTCACGGGAGGTGACGGTTCTGGTGCCGGTTCCACTGGGGTCGCAGGTTCATCGTTTTCGGTTGTAGGAACACTGGGTTCATCAAGAATTTCCGGAACTATTTCAGCCGTCGAATCTGCCGATCGTTGCTGCAGTTGCTTGGAACGTTTCAATTTGGGCACCTTCAGTTCTTCTTTCGGTTCCTCAACAACAGGAGTAGGAACTTCCATGACATGCTGTTTATTGACTGTTTCCCCTTTCGAAGAGGGTTGCTCCTTTTCCAGCTCTTCCTCTTTCTTCGCTCGCTTAGATTTACGATGCCTTTCGGAGGAAGTCGTTGCAACGACTGGTTCTTCAACCACTTTTGCAGGTTCTTCCTGAACTACAGCAGGCTCCTCGGCCTTGACGCTTCTGCCTCGTCGCGATCGAGGCGTATCCAAAGCCTTAAGATCCAAATTCTGAAGCTCGCCACCTCTCTTCTTTCTGGCCTTGGGAGTTGCATCTTCAACGCGTGGTTCTTGTTTTTGCTCCACCTCGGGCACTTCTTCAGTGGGTTTTTCAACTACTGGCGTAGCAGATTTTCTCTGTCTTCCTTTGCGTCCTTTCGGAGTGGCAGCTGAAGCCAGCGAGTCCAAAGCCAGTTGATCCTTGCTGATCGACACTGGAAGAGACTCCGTTTCCGTAGCTTTTGTCTCATTGGTGGAGCTAACCGATGGTTCCTGTGCGATGTCCGTTTTGTCACTCACGTTAAGGACATTTTCCGTATGAGAAATTTTCGTTCGCTTTGATTTGATCGCAGCAAATTCGGAATTCTCAAATCGCGCTGGTTCGTTTGAAAGGATCGATTCCTGAGAATCGTCATTGGTTGTTGTTGGTGATTCGGAACTCAGTTTCGCCTCAGCTCGTTGCTGCTCCAGAAGTTCGGCCAGTTCCTCTTCGTGAGACTTTTTGACAAAATCCATCACAATTGCTTTTGATTGCTCCAAGGCAATCGCTTCGTTCTCGATGATTTTGTTACGCGTCTTGAAAATTCGCTTACCACGTTCCTTCGGCGGAAGAGTCCTGTTCCGGTCGATTTCTTCCTTCAACTGTGGTGGCGTTTCTACCGCAGAAGACGATGACGGTACAGGTGATAGTGCTTTTGTAATCTTAGGAAGCTCCGGGCAGCTCGGTATACTAGTTTCGCACAGAAGCGATTCGATTTCCGTCTTAAGTTCAGCATCTTTTTTTGCTCGCTCTTGCTCTTCTTGATCTTTTACCGGATCCGGAACGGTGGAGTTCAATTCCAAAGATGTGTCCCGCCTATTTGAAAGCGACCTTCGCGGAGATTTGTTCAAGACCACCTCTTCTTCTTCGTCCTCTTGGAAATCGAAACAGGAAGTTTCTTTCTTAAAGTCTTCGTCCGCTGTCAGCTGAGATTCTAGCGTTACAACTTTCATCAGCGACTCTTGCTTCGCCTCGTCACTGCTGACGGACTTGCTTGATCCACGCGTCGCCCGATCAAGAATACGTTGTTTTGCACTGATGGGTCGCTCTGTGAGACTGTCAATTGAAATTTGAGTTTTGTCCGATGTAGTCGTCGGAGTATCTCCACCGCACGTCGCTGCCGTTGTAGAGATACTGCTCTCACTGGACGACTTCTCTATTGTACTTGCGACCGACACTACCGGTTGATCGTTTGTCACTTCAATGAACTCACGTTTCTGTTTCTTAGGAATATTCCGGTACTTGATTGTTGTCGCAGATGAGACCGGAGAAGCCAACTGCGGTGAACATTCTGCGGACTTGTCTAAACTTGTCTCCAGCGAACTTGCCGTAGTTACTGTAGTATTCTCCGTCGTCTCCGTTCTATCCGGCTCTTCGTTTTTTACATTCTCATCTTCCTTAACCGAATCCTCCTGATCATCTTGATCGTCTTGCTCATCTTCACTCCAGTCAGCCAACAGTTCATTCTTTAGTTCCACCTTTACCTTGGAGTCCTTGTCATCTTTCTCAATCGAATCCTCGACCGTTTTAGTTTCAACCTCCAGCTCCGCCACCGCTTCCACCTTCACTGTTTCCTCCTTTTTCTCTTTTACGTGTTCCTCCTTCTCTTCCGTCACTTCCATCAAAACTTCCACTTTCTCGTCACTTTCGTCCTCAACCAGTGTCGGAGTTTCCCGGGCTCTTCCCCGGTTCCTTCGTCGATCCGTTTTGGGAGTAGCCTTAACCATTGGTACGGCGGCCCTTGGCGTACGACTTGCATGACCACGTGTAGGTTTCTGTTCCAATACTTGAATCACCTCCACCAGCTCTTCCCCTTCGGCGATTGTCTCGATCTTTTCCTCGATTTCCGTCTTAGGAGGAGTTTGATCTTCTACTTTATTCGGAGTCGGAGGGGACTCCTTCAACGTCACATCTTGTTCGGTTTTCTCCGTGGTGGCTGCGATCGGTTTGGCAGGTTTCACCACTAAAATTTGAATCACATATTAACAAATTTGCTTCACACAGCCCAAGCAAAACCCAATTACCTTTCACCGATGGTATGTTCATCGGTACAGCACGACAATACTTCGTATGAACCATGATGACATTCTGGCGGCTACTTTCGAATCCACACTTGTAACAGTGATAGATCTGAGCCGGTGAACTGCTGCTGCTACTATTGATTGAAACTCCCGATGAGCTCAGACCGGTGGCTGGTCTCGGTGTCGAGGGAAGCGATGATGCTGCTGCACCCAACGATGAGGATAAACTCCTACTTCCAACACTGATGCCCGTCAATGAAGAAGCTTGTGCAAGAATTCTTACCTCATGCTTCTTTACCGTAATAACTGGGATGATTTTGCTAGGGGAAACAACTTTCTTGGCGGCGTTCTTACCACCGACGGATGCTGAAACGAGCAAGATTTTAAAATTTCCAATCACGACACACGCAAAACATCCACCATACCTCTGCCTTTGTTTTTATCTCCAAAGATGCCCGCATAGCTTTCGCGCTTTTGCGGCAGAAAATCGTTTGAGTTGACAATGTTCGGGTCGCCTCCGGTCGTACGCTCGGCATGCATTACGTCCGCCGGAAACTTTTCCATGTGTTTATTCTTTGCCCGAAATTGTTCTGCAGGAGGAAAATGTATTTTAAAAATTATATTAAAACACCATGCTGATATAAACTTACCTAAACCCTTTCTAAGAAATTCATTCTTCCTATTACAGTTATACTTATAGATAAAATTAGTATTTTTGACAAATTCACTGAAAATATCAAGAAAAAAAGTTACACATCTCTAAACGTAGTTTCAAAACCAATGAAATGAACTCACTATGAATCCTCATCGAAAAACTTGACAACAACCAGCGGCCGGCGCTTCAGCGTGGAGAGAAATTCCTCCGTCAGGCGATCTCCGGCCATTACTTCGCCGGGCCACCAGCAATAGCTGAGCTTGACCCAGACTATATCACCGTCGTTGTATTCGGTTTCGTCGTCCATGATTGCTTCTGGCCTACCACTACCACGGACCGGAAGCAGAACAACTGCGGGTGCTTGCGGCAGGCTATCCGATCTACAACTATACACAGCAGCGACTCTATTCAGTGGTACCCAACAACCGATTTACGACTTCCGTCTGCGTAATCCACTCGTTAACCTGTTGCGAAAAATGGTAAAAATATTAATAATTAACCCTACGATTGGGCTACATAAAACCTTAAAATTAATATTATTCTCACGCTCAGACAGTACCAATACGTATTTTTGCCGCCCTGGAAAATATATAAAGTAGCGATTATTGCAACTTGCAAATACCGAAGAAAAAATACGGATCGGAACAATCCGCGCCGACCTACGCGACGACATAAGGACTAAGATTGGAAACTCGGAACATGGAACTGCAAATCGCTCGGCATCCCTGGCTGCGAGAGGTTAATCTATGACGAACTTTAACCACGCAACTTCGAAGTCTTAGCACTGTAGGAACTTTGCTGGACGTGACAAAAGGCATGGAAAAGCGGGCAAGAGGGGCTACTTTCTACCAGACCTGTGGTACCACGACGAGCTGGGAAACGGCTTTGTAGTGCTGGGTAAGATGCGTCAACGCGTGATTGGTTGGCAGCCGATCAACACGATGATGTGCAAGTTGAGGATTAAGGGCCATTTCTTCAAATACAACATCATCAACGTGCACTGCCCACACGAAGGGAGACCCGACGACGAGAAAGAAGCGTTTTATGCGCAGGTGGAGCAGGTGTACGACTGCTGTTCGCAACGGGACGTCAAAATCGTCATCGGCGACATGAACGCTCAAGTAGGACGGGAGGCAGTGTACAGACCGACAATCAGGCCAAACAGCTGTATGCCCTACCCAACGACAACGGCCAACGATGCGTGAACTTTGCAGCCTCCCGTGGTATGCTAATCCGAAGTACTTTTTTGCCTCGCAAGGATATCCACAAAGGCAGCTGGAGATCACCTAACCAATACACAGAAAACCAAATCGATCACGTTTTAATCGACGGGAAATTCTTCTCCGACATTACCAACGTCGGCACGTACCGCAGTGCGAACATAGATTCGGACCACTACTTAGTTGCAGTATGCATGCGCTCAAAACTCTCGACGGTGCATATCACTCATCGAAGTCGAACGCCGCGACCCAACATTGAGCAATTTCGAGACACCGGAGTTACTCAGGATTATGCGCAGCAACTGGAAGATGAACTACCCACGGAAGAGCAGCTTGGCGCAGCTACTCTTGAAGATAGCTGGAGGGACATCCGTTCCACCATAGGTAGTACTGCGATCCCTGACCGAAGAAATGACTGGTTTGACGGCGAATGCAAACTATTAGTAGAGGAGAAGAATGCAGCACGGGCGAGAATTCTGCAACACCGCACGAGATTAAATGTGAAGCGATACAAACAAACGCGGAACAGACAAAACTCGGTTTTTCGAAGGAAGAAGCGAAAGCAGGAAGTTCTACGAGAAGGTAAAGAGTTCGCGCGAAGGCACATCATTTATTCATCGATTTTAAATCCGCATACGACACAATCGATCGAGATCAGCTATGGCAGATTATGCACGAGTACGGATTTCCGGATAAACTGACGCGATTGGTCAAGGCGACGATGGATCGAGCGATGTGTCTTGTTCGAGTATCGGGGACACTCTCGAGTCCCTGCTCCGGTCGAATAAAATTCGCCGCCACACGAGGTTGACTATCTACAAGACGCTGATTAGACCGGTGGTCCTCTACGGCCAACGAGACCTGGACTATGCTTTCAAGAGCAAATTTTCATTATGTCTTAAGTAACATTCGCACTGATCCGAGAAAAATAAAGTTATTCCTATTTCCAATTAAACACATATAATCTCATAGTGATAGCAATGTTTAACATATTTAGCAGGGTTTTAATCATACAAAGCAAATCGCTAGCTTTCATGCTAAAAAATACTGGTTTTTGAGTCAAAAGTTATTATACGTCGTTTGGTGGCCCCTATTGTTACTTAAGTCAAAGTGTATTTACCACGAAATTCTGGAGAATTATCAATTACGTCTCCTTACGTGCAGCCCATTCATTATTTTAGGATCACCGAAATCATCTTAGCATCAAACAGTTCGATTTATTCACTTTAATAATGAGAAAGCGAAACGACGAACGTACACTTTTCACGAGTTTCTCAGCGCTGTTACTTAAGGCAAACGGCATCTCCATAGAAATCGGGTGACTTAAGCAGCATCGAAAACTATTTTGATCGGAAGGTGATTACGTCAAAAAGCAATTTGACTGGTAAATAAATTTAAAAATGGGATGTGATCCTATTTTCGGACAGTAATGAAATAGCAGGAACATCGATTGACACTGATAGCTCGACTTTGTTTACCTTTGTTACTTTCGACGTAATGAAAATTTGCTCTTGCTTTGGTGTTTTCAAACGGTGCACTATCTACGGTGGAGTGCAGGTGGATGACGGAACGTGGAGGAGACGAATGAATCACGAATTGCACCAGCTGCTGGGAGAACCATCCATCGTCCACATTGCAAAAATTGGGCGACTACGGTGGGCTGGGCACGTCGTAAGGATGCCGCACGACGACCCCGTGAAAATGGTTCTCGAAAGCGACTCAACAGGAACAAGAAGAAGAGCCGCGCAGCGGGCAAGGTGGATCGACCAAGTGGAAAGCGAGGATCGAGAGACGACCTGATTGATAAGGTAAGTCCAGGCCAAATAGCAAAGTTGTTTACTTGATCTGGTCTGATTTGCATGAAACAAGGTATACAGATGGCATGGATCTTGTATTTTTTTTTTTGCCTAAACTCATGACTCAAGCACTGTAGTACAAATGTTGTATGGTAAAATGATAAGGAATGCACATCTGAGAAGGTCGAGTTTTTACAATTCTTCATTTGGCGTGGAACTGCTTAATTACTAAACCCACTCCAAAAGCTCTACAGCCTTAAACTTCGAGCGGTCTTCAGCCTTAAATTCAGAGTCTGTGAGGAATGTGAGATTTTTGGAAGTCCTAGATAAAGACAATGTTAATGTCCACCAAGAATCATGAGAAGTAACAGATCGTGAACATATCTTCAAGCCTGGGACGTTTAAATGTTTTCTTAGAACGGGACAGAATTTTAAAATGTTGTATATGGAACTTTACATTTGTTCTTAGCTCGAGATCTGATGTCTGATTATCTGGTGATCGCCCGGGAAGCTCATCCTTTAGGGCCATATGTTTTTTTTTATTATTGTGGGATCGACCCCGGCGTAGTGGTTAACATCCATACCTCTCTCGCCAAAGTCACGAGTTCAAATCTCATCCCCGGATAAGTCACGAATGACCCAAGAGTGTTAAAGTGACCATAATTTAAAAAAAATAATTAATTTTTAAAGTGGAGAAATAACAAAGAAATTGAAACTATACTACGGATATTTTTTGTTTTCTACTGAACTAATCCACGGAATTCAAGAGTCTACATTCAACTCTAAACCATACGCAACTACAAGTGTTAAAAAAAGGTGCCATGACCATTTCTAATGATGATCTGAAACTTCTACTTATTTTTTTTTATTGAGTATCAAGCTGGAGCTGCATGACAGCTTTGTTTTCAAGACTTGACCCATTTGAATAAATTTTGCTTCTATCTTTGATAATACAACAGAAGGACTAGCCTATGTTGGTAGCTTGAACACTGGATTCCGTGTGTATTGTTTCAAGAAAGTTAAAGAAAAAATGCTGTGACGTGTGCACGTAGATACATCCGCGTCAGGCCTGAATATACTCATTATAGCTAAAACACTACTTTTCCGAAATTATGAAACTATGAGATATTATAATAATTTGTATATGTCAGATGCAAGAATAGGAGGTAAAATTTGTATTCGACACATAAAATCAGTCAATTTTGCTTTCAGAGGGTCACAATAAGCTATTCTAGCTGTAATGATAAATCGTCATGAGTGAGTACTATTCGTTATACCTAATTGCTAATTGTGACATTCTGGAAATTGCCAGGTTTTATGCATCATACACGAACTTTACCTTCTCTACTTGCATCTTACATATATAAATTATTATTATTATATCTCATATTTTTATAATTTCGGAAAGTAATATTTTAGCTGTGATGAGTATGTTCAGGACTGATCAGCGTAGTAATCCGATTGAATAAGTAAATCCGTTTCGAACGAAATATCTAAATTATGTAAGTTACTAAACCGCACGATTTCCGAACGCCGTGGTTTCCTCCCTAGATATTCTACTTATTTACTTCTGAGCTTTGTCGCAAGTTAATTTAACGGACGTATCATCATTTCAAGATTCCGCGACCGTACCGAACAAATTCTATACTACATAAGCTCAAAAGCGTTTGACAAGCTCTGCCGAATTGCGAATCACTTCTGCGTAAGCTCCGTAGACGTAGGCGCGTTGAATCCGACAGCCGCGAAAAGTTAAACATGCATCAATACCACATAAGGAAAGATCGATTTTACAGTCACGTAGGGTTTAGTTCATAGATTAACATTGACTGCTGTTTACAAATGTAAGTACTTGAACAAAAAGAAATAAGTTAACTCAAATGCTTTAACCGCATCAAAGATTTCGTGTATTGAGAGAATAACATAGTAATCGAGTACTCAGAGGGAAACAATACCTACAAAAGATTAAAAGTTTTTAATTGTCATATAGGGTAAATTATGGCTTCGGCACCCATTGACTGTTTTCGGCAACCGAAATTGAAACGTTGATTTCACTGTATTTTCCCATCAAAACTCTTCGCTGAATGTATTCAGCCGATTCCTTACCTTTTCAGCTTCAATCTGATTACATTTTTACGACTGTTCAATCCTGTTATGCCATATTTTTCTTTAAATTAAATATACACACTACAAAATACGGCTGATTTCGAGTTGCCGATAATAGAACAGCTGGTTAACACGCAATTCAAATGGAAAGGGTGCAGAAAAAAAAGAGACTGCCGACAATAGTCACACTCACCTGAGAAGTTTGGAGCGTTGTAAAAACATGTTCAACCCGTTTTGATCAATTCTGTCGATTGGAATTGGTAGAACAGCAAGCAGCAGATAAATGTCAACAAACAAACCTGTCATGTATGTATGTGACGCTGAGAAATCGCTAATAGAAGTTCGGACGCTGCTTAGACTGACGAGAATACGTAAATTCCCCTATCTCTCATTTGGCTTATTTACTAAACTATTCCTCTACTTGTTAATCTGCTTAATGCTATTGGGACCTCCCCCCTTAGCTCAGTCGGTAAAGGCGCAGCTACAAAGCAAGACCATGCTGGAGGTGGCTGGGTTCGATTCCCGGTCCGATCTAGTAATTTTTCGGTTTGGAAAATGCCTCGACTTTCCTGGGCATAGAAGTATGATTGGACACAATTATACCAATGCAAAAATAGTGCAGGCATCGAAAGCTAATAACTGTGGAAGTGAAGCTAGAATAGTAAGTTGAGAGCACGCAATAAGCTAATCTGCGATATGCGATATGCAATAAGCTTGAAATGTGAAGAAGAAGACGAAGGTATTGGTCTGCATGCGTTTTCTTATTGAAGTTCAAAACTAAATAAGAAGAATTATTCTACAATTTTAAAGGTTAGTTGCACTTCCCTAAGCGGACCCCTCGCATCCTTATTCTTTCGTTAATCTACTTAATGTTATTAGACTTTCTGATGTTTCTTATTTAAGTTCATTTGATGATTATGATATCTCATTAGTTAATTTAATAATAAATTGAAATCTTTAATTCACCTAATCAAGCATAACCCATGCTCTATTGAGTACCTGCACTTGTGCTTATAATATAAAATTAAACGTGTTTCAAGTACTTTTGACTTTGATCTATATTTATTATATCTTAGTTCGACCCAGGTAACACCTTCAAGTGACTAAAATGCTTGACTTTCAAGTTAGTTTCTTAGCTGATTTTTAAATTATATAGGGTATAAGCTCCAACTATGCTCACACGCTTCCACTATGTCGCACCACAAAAATACGTATGGGTATGTCACAATAGAAGCAGGCCACAGTGGAAATCCCGAGCTATAGTTCAAACAGTTATCCCAAATCAAAATGAAGCACATATAAGATTAGTTACAATACCATGTACAAAAATTGTGTAAGTTTCATAACTTGGAAAATCTTCCAGATTTTCCGGACGACTAGCTTGTGGAATTCACAACAATGCTTCACATTCGGGTACACCATAAAACCCCAATAACTCTGAGAACTGAATATAATCCACGATAATCTCTGAGAACAGTGAGAACTGAGGATAATTCACGATGATCTCTGAGAATTGAAGATAAAACCGGAAAAGAGACTCCCTTAACCACAGAAGCCTTTGAAGCTCACAAAACGTTGGGATCAGAAATCAGGGTACTACTAGAACACTCTGAAGGATTTCGGAAATTATTATGATGTATAATGTTTAAAATTCTTGTAGTTCCGGCAGTTTCAGAAATTGTGGGTATGGTAAAGAGAGTTTAGAATGAAATAATAATTATTATTTCAAACTCAACTCTGTCTGCCTCAGTGGCGTTTCTTGAGCTTTGGGTATAATAATCTTTGACGATTTTACGAAGTATGAATAGTCCCAAGAATGGTGAATATCTTGAAGTTCCTCGGGTTTCTAAGTTCCTTTAACCGCAGGATCTTACATATTTTTAGGAATATTCGAGAAGCAAGATATTGCCTCACAGGACCTAGTTAGATATATGCATCTTCCATAAACCTTCCACTATTCATAGCTTAAGTCGTATGAATTTGTCATGCAAACAAATTCTCTTTATTTTTAATTAGCTAAGTAAGTTAGATAAGATCTATTCAAAATTATAAGCATCTAAAAATAAAAATCCTCTAAAATCATTATAAAACATTTTTTAACATTTACTTCTAAATATTATTATTCTTGACAATGTCGATCGGATACTTGCCAGAACAACAATGATTAAAAGTTGGTAAAAAAATTGATAGTTGAAAAATACAATTATAACAATGGATTGATTTTCTTGATAAGTTCCGCAAAATTCGCATCACCAAATTGATCTTCACCTCAAACGACTTTCGATTAAAATTTCTAGTAATTGTTATTATTATATTTGGGTTCCCTGAATCCGATGCCGATGCTAAAAACCTTGTGCAAAGTATCTGTTCAGCAGAAATTGCAAAAAAAGATTTCTTAAAATGCATAGTTGCACCTAAATGTAGGCAATTTCTTTAAAAAATAACTATAAACTTTACTGAACATCATTGATTTATTAATATTGAAAACATGTTTTTTTTTATAATTCATATTCATTGACACGATATGAACTAGCCTACAGCTAAAAATCTTAAAAATAAAGTTAAAAAAAATCATTGACGCGTAGTTTAATGAAAAATACAACGCCTGGAAAGGGTCTTACAAATTTTGTTTACATAAGCTATTGTACCGTTTTCAAATGTTAAGCCTGATATGTTCAGTTTTTCCGCTTTTGTCAAATTTGTTACATTTCACAATTGACACCCCATAGTAATAAGGTGTCGTATGTAACAATAAGCAATATTATGATCGGTTGGCACGTCAAAAATAGTTTTTTGATGGGAATATGAAACAGAAATGAGGCCCGGGCCCAAATGTTGCTTGTAGGTAAAGTAATTGGAGTAAAGCATGGTAGTTTCAAAATCTCAATTAGTTTACATTTGCTACATACGATCTATTCAAATAGCACTCCAGAACAACTGTGAAAGTTGTTCAAAGAAGTTAAGGGCAGGCGCAAAGTTCCAACAAGAATGTTTGAGTGAAGAGGAAGAAGAACAATATCTAAGATAGATATTTCAGAATCAGAATGCTGAAAAAAAGGGACCAGTTTTGATTAATGGAAATACGTCGAGTTTTTTTTTACAAAATGTGATTTAATTTAAAAGCACATAGTTTTCATTCATATCGTATTGCTAAACAGTTTGAATTTGGAAATTGCATGAAGCAAAAATGACACCCAAATTGTTGTTGTATTTGTTGTTGCACTTCCCGTTCAACCCTTTCACGAGTAGAAAAGTAGCCACCTTCAAAACGTCAAACGCGACCAAATTTCGTACTCTGGCGTCGTAACAAAGAAGCAAAAGGTATACCTTCCTTCGATCTTCTACAATCGCAACCAGCAACTAATACGAATTTCTTATTCAAAATAAGATTTTACTACAAATAATTCAAATCAAACTTACGCCACCATCCAATAAAACGGGCCACCAAACGAATTAAAAAAAAACTTGTCACCCTCTTGAAAACCTGCGAATGCAATGTCCTCGCAGTTTTTCTTCTGATGACTGATGGCTGTGTGCGCGAATCGAATTTGTCGCCTCGGTTCGATTTCCAGAGCAGCAGCAGAAATCACCCAGGGACGCGGTGATTTTCTTGCTTCGGTTTTACGTTTATCCCTGGAGTTCCGGTTCAAATATAATCAACTTCGGATTCCGGACACAGTTCCGCACACAATACGCACTATTTAACCACTTTTCGACACTGATTTTCACCTTTTTACGATGAAAAGTTTTGTTGACGACGATCAACCCGAACTAAATTTTCCAACTTGCACTGCCATTTTGACGGCGAGGCCAAGCGGTATCGGTTCGGTTGGGTCAACGATGGCGTTAGGTCAACTACGTCGTTTTGTTTTTTTATTTACCTGGTTTTGTTTATTCGCCGGAGGGTGGTCGTAATGGATGAATATTTGAAAAAAGCGAAATTGCTAAAGAGTGATATATCTAAAGGGAGCTGCACCGTCGAGTTAACCTAATGTTTTGACATCTGGCAGTGAATTGTTTACATGGACTTAGAAAAAAAATAAAGGTTATTAAATGGTTTTTTTTTTTAGATTTTTTGAAGAGAAATATTTTTCAAACGAACATAGTCGGATATCTTATCTTTTAGTTATTTTTATTTAAAACCTTAAATCCACTTGAATCAACTAACAAGCAAAGGTAAACAAACCACCACTGGATGTCAAACTGATGAATGCTGCACAGAAAAACAAAACTACCCACCGCTTGGGTTTTTTAAACTCAAATTTGAGTTATTTGACCTCTGCCCGTTTCATTTCCTCTCGCTATTGTTGTCAAAAATAGAACGAAAGATTCGACTCAACCGTCTAGTTCCGTAAGAGAAGCCAAAATTGAGTTATATGCGATATACCCAAATTTGAGTTAATTGAACTTAATTTTGGATAGAAAAAATTGAAAATAACTTAGCGATGGGTAATTTTTTTTTGCTGTGCTTAAATGCAAACTACTTTGAGCCGGTTTACCCAAATTTGGCTTATCGTACGGAACATGGGAGATGAGTGAAAAGAACTTAATTTTGGGTTGTTTTGAATTTCTGTGTGAGCGAGCTTTCTTCGATCCGAGCATGCTGGCCCTGCTGTACTTCCCCAGCGAGCAGAAGTACGCCATCTATATTCCGTTGTTCCTGCGCATCATGATTCCGGTGATCTTCTCCTTCAACTCAATCAGTAAGTTCTTGCTTATATAATATATATAATTAATCAAATAAAATGAATAAAACATCCTGTCATTTGAACATTTTTCTCGTCACTTTTGCGTTGCAAGATCGTTGAATCTTGCTCATTGACTGAGTAAAATTGTATTGCAATTTTATTTTCTCTCACGGAAATTTCACCCAGTTAAACTGTTGTTACTCATAGATCTGTAACAGCAATTTTACTAAAACTGAGTAAAATTTCTGTGAGAGAGAAAGAGATTGCTATAAAATTCTGCTCAGCCAGTGAGTAACAACCTATAGGTCACGTCTCCTTGGTGGTTGAGCGTCGTTGATAAGTTAATGCATTCCACTGGAGAGAATTTTTTCAAATTCTCCAAGTAAAACAGATGATTTTTGGGTAAAGAAAAACTAATAATTTCCGTGTCTAATTGAATCGTGTAAGAAAACCTCGCCAACGACTACATAAAATGCTCTCCAGAGTTGTAATCTTGTAACCAAACTTGGAAGTGATTTTGATTGATTCTCTTAATCAACTTTCTCTTTAAAAAAGATTACTACAAATTTGGTACGCCTACAATTCAAAAACGGAAAGAGTTGAGATAATAGATAATTGATCAATTAAAAGAACTAATTGCTCTTCACATTTATTCCGTCCACAAGCTTCCATTCGTGCCCCTACACGGTAACCGCAAAATACCCAATAATGACTACAAAGTAAGCATTAGCGAGGGAAACTGGGACTACCCATAAAATGAGTAAAGTTTTACCCATTTATGAGTAATTACAACTACAAAAATAAGTAGTAAGTATTCATTTTTGAGTAACAAATACTCATAAATGGGTAATATGTTTACTCATTTAATGGGTAGTCCCAGTCTCCCTCGAAAATGCTTACTTTGTAGTCAATAACGAGTCTTTTATAGTCATTATTGGGTATTTTGCGGTTACCGTGTAGTCACAGACCCTTCTACTCTTTTTTGCTGTGCAGTTCGAAGAGTTCGAATCGAATGAAAACAAGAATATAATGAATACCTTATCTGCAATACACTACAGAAATAAAAAATTACCCAAATTAGAGTTCTTTTGACTCAACCTCGAAGTTGCGTACGAGAAGCTAATTTTGGGTAAACATGAAAAAACCTAATTTTGGGTAATTGATAGAAAAGACCGCAGTGGGTAAATTTAATCAATAAGGAAAAACCTAATTTTGGGTAAATTTAACTTAACGATAGGTTATTTTACCGGCCACTTTTTCCGAATAAAAAAACCTAGCTTTGGGTCAAATTAACTCAACCATGGGTTATTTCACCGGGATTTTTAATTACGAGCACGTAATCCGGAATAGATGTCAAAAATAAAGAACAATAAAAACCGTGACGACAACAACATATTTGTTGTCATTCATTCAACCGTTAAATAAATAAATAAATAAATAAAAAATAAACACAACGAACAAATCAAATAAAATAATATGCTAACTGATCAAAGCTTCCATCATCCACCATATTCTTTAATTGTTCCATCTTTATACGGACGCCACCGTGAGGAACCAATTTAAAAAAAACGGACGGAAATCAAGAAACTGATGTCGTGCTGGAAGCTGTAGGTACCGGATATCTAAAAATAAAAGAACACAACAGAAATGAAATTAATTATCTGCGCTCCACTAGCGCTTAGGATTCACAACTCACCAGATTACGTCGGTGTATGGCAATACACAACGGATTCGGAACCAAACAACCGAAGGTGTCGAAGGAGAATGGAACAGCCACAGGAAACTTCACTAAGAATCCAGGTGGAACGAAAAAAATAAAAGATTTTCTTCTCGTCGGGTACTTCTATGTAAAAGGATGAATAACCACTCGCGTTTTAAGTAATAAATCGACCGCTCAATGGAGGAATAACATCAGGCGGTAGAAAACTTCCGGACACCGCACGCGATTGAACACTTCATTCGAAGGGAGCAAAATCACAAATGGCGTCGTCGTGGAAATATTTTTTCATCCAACTCACAGTTATTTTCACTCAACACAAGCTTTATAGTAAGTTACTCAGCGTTGAGTAAATTGAGGCCCACAAAAGTTCCGTATGTTTTTTACTCATCTCTATAGGTAATATACGTATTACTCAACCGTTGAGTTAAAATTAACCATCATAACACATTGATTTTTACCCAATGCGATACTATAAAGGTTTTACTTAATTTTGGGTTTTTTAAACTCAAGCTTTGGGTAATTTTCATTTTCTGTGTACGGTCAAGAATAACGCTAGTCAGGCAGGTTTACACCAGCCTATTAAATTTTGGCGCTTTACATGTTTTCACTTGTTTTTGTTTTGAATGCCGCAAGTAGGTACCGGTGTTTTTAAATACCTCTCAATTTTTTCCTTTTAATTTATACGTTCAACATTCGCCGGAAAAAAAAATGTTTAAAAATCGAAAATCTACGTTGCTAGTGAAGAAATCGTCCGATCTGACGACGATTCGCGAAACGGTCAGTGATGCCACCGCATCGCCCAGTCAGAAAGTACGTCGGCTGGAAAGTGGCGCCGAACCAACGGAAACGGACGACCCATTCGGAAGCAGTCAGTTCTCCGTTCCGGCCAGTCAGATGAACAGCCAGAGGAGGTACCTATCTCAGCGAAGCAATCTGCAAAAATCGCAAAGTGCCCGAACGTCCCGCCGGATACCGACCAACTACTTCGAGAGTGTGCTGCTCAAATGTCAGCTGGGCCTAGACGATCCGACGTCGATAGTGCTCAAGTGTGAACCGATAACGTTCGTGAGGACGCTGAGAAGTATGCTGCAAGGAAGTCCAGATTATCCGAGAAATGTGAAGGATTTTCTGCATGGGGTGGAGCAGGTGAGTAAGACCCGGGATGGATTCCGGAAGATGCTCGAGTGTTGTCAGATGCAGAACCAGACGAGTGGGGAATTGAAACTGATCCAGGAGAGTGTGGTGAAGATGTTGCTTTGTGTGGAATTTATGCAAGAGGATCTGATCAGGTTGTTGTTTGAGTATGTGGAACGAGTGGCCGAGGAGGAGGTCGGAGTGAATATGATTAGATTGGTGCTGTCGCAGATTAAGTTCATTGACCACACGGTACATGGAACGTTAGTTTTCAACAAATATTTCGAGGTTTTGGAACGGTCTAAAAACGTGCAACTGCTGAGAGAAGCTGTCGGATCACTGGAGGATGTGATTGATGTGGCCAAACAGGATATGGCTTTTCGTAAGCTTATGGAGCTGTTTCCAAGGGTGAGAGATTTGTTCACTGTGATGAATGTAACTGTGTTCTGCGAGATGAGCTTGAGTGGTTCGACGTTGAGACTGACTCGGCAAAAGATGGTTGAATTCGTGGAAAGCGGATGCCCAGTGGAAATCTACCCGGTGCTGGTGAGATTTATGTTAAAGTTCAACAGTAGCGAGATTGATGGACTGCATGAGAATATCCAGGAGATCCGACAGGTCGTGGATGGACTTGTTCGGCTTTCTTCCGGTGAAAAGTACCTGCGTGAATGTTTCCAGATCATCTATCAAGCCTTAACGGTTTCGGCCGTTCTCTACGAAGCGTGGATTAAGTTTTGCCGCCTTCTGATGGACGAAGAATCGCACATGGCCTTTGACCTATTGGTGCTGGTCATGATGCTAACAGTAAACGAAATTAAAAGTGGAACCATCGAGAAAATCCTGCTAAACAAAATCAAAAAGCGTCATTTGTCCATTTCGCACATGAAAGAGCTGACCAAGCAGTTTGGTTGCGTTTTGACGGTTCATATGGATTGTGTACTGGATTTTGTTGAATCCTGTCTCAAAGAAAGACACACGGAAGTGTGCGAGTTCGGGGTCCTTTCGATGAGCTATCTCTTCTCGGCGAACAACATGAACAATCGACTGGTGCTGAATAAGCTGGTGGGATTCATGAGCGAGATGGCATTGATTAATGAAGGACACCGCAATGACCACCTGATCTCAATATGTATGAATGCTCTGTCAAGCATCTACAATAGCTACCCCAATGACATCCGAAACAATGCGCACATCCTGTTGAAAATCATGGACATCTCAATGGATTTGAATCTGCAGCAATATCGCACGGTTGTTAGTCTAATCTGTGAGGCCATTCATGTTCCTGATAGACCCATAGGCGATAACGAAACATGGGATAGTCTCAACATTGTCATCAAGAAACAGCTGCTGAGTACCAGCAAGGATGTCAAAAAGAAAGGCATCATCGGTGTGGTACGATTGATTCGACATCTGCTCATAACCTGTACCGGAAATGATGAACTACCGTGCAGTTTCGATTCCGAAAAGACTATCGATACGGTCAGCGGTATTCCCACTATTTCTGGAAGAGAGATTGGCAATATGATCAACCTACTTTTCACCTCGTCTAATGAGTCCACGGATGTTCTTGCCCTCTGCTATGACGAACTGGCAGAAATGCTCCAAGATTTCGAACGCAACGTCGGCAAACCGGAGAAGGCCTTTACCATCTGGTTGTGTGATGTTCTAACAAACGAATTCCAGAACTTCTTCATCATTGAAGAGGTTCCGCAAGGTGATGTGGTTCAATTTACCAAAAAACTCTGCATCAATGATACAGCTGACGTGGAGAATACGAACGCGGAAGCCTACGCAATTTCGGTCAACATTGCTGAGAACATGCTGGCCTACAACAGTCGATATTCCTCGATGTGCTTCTTTCTGGCGATGTTCAAACTGATGAAGGCATTGCAAATGATTCGCTACGATGGAAACCTGGAGTCAATCAACGCCCTCCTAGGATGCGCCATCGTAGTTCCATCCTTCTACGATGAACCCGACGAAAAACATCTGGTTGAAACATTTGAAGAAGACGTGTGTCGACAATTGCTGGATGCCTACTTCTACATCGCCAACTGGTTCCGAGAGCTGATCAACGCCTTTATTCACCAAACCGATCCCTTGTTACATCGAAAAGTTCTTCAAAGGCTATCAGCTCTAGTTCAACTGGAACGTCGTCTAGCTGCGATGCTGCGAACCGTCGACTTCGATTACTATCCACCGATTTGCGATTTCTCTGCCGGTACTCAATCAATGTCCTCGAGAGCCGCCAAAGAGTCATCGTCCAAGCAGAACATAACGCTTAATGCTACGAAAACCCAACTGGATACCACTGTCAAGCCTCGATCTTCAATCTCATCAGAATTCGATGGCGAAACTTTGTTTTCTCGCCATCGCCACGGATTCAGAACCATGGACAATCAAGTCATCCAACTTTTCCGTGAGGCAGTCCTGCTTTGTCATGACCTACCGGAAAATAAGGTCGGTGAATGTCTGGGTCTAACAGAATACCGATTCCTGCTGGAAACCTTCACGATCGAAGTCGAATCCAAAGCTGATCCCCGAGCGAAACAACACCTGGACATCAAACTCAACGATCTAATAACAGCCCTTCCATTTGCCGTCGATAATTATATCACAATCAAGGCAAAACGAAAGGAACTTCACGTTTCTACGGTTCCGGACAGTCAAACTGAATACAAAGCATTGACTTGTTGTTCAAACCTGTCGCTCCGCTTGTTTACCGGCATTCTTCTCCTACTGAAAGCTACGCCAAACGACCTCCGGGATAACGCTCTAAAAGCATTCGTGAAACTTGCTATCTCGGATGCACCGGATAAAGATGCTGCCGAACGAATCTTAACTTCAGAATTGACCCACAAGAACGCCTTCAAAGATCTTCACAACGCGCACTGTCTCTTCAAATTTGGCTTGGCCCTAAACAGCGTTTTCCCTGCTCCGAACAACCCATCCATCATCGCCGCATTCTGTCAGAAGTTCATCTGCTCCCACTTCACCCCGAAAACCGGCACGGTTACACAACTATCTCAGCTTCTCCAGGGACTATTTACCGTCGTAGACTTTTCGAAAATCAAACGCCTCACCAAAGCCCTTGCCGATGACCTGACTTCGTCCAAGACTGATGAAAAACTTTTCTCCGGTCTTCAACGCACCCACTATTCGTTACTATTCAAAGAACTGACCAAGTCCTTTATCAAATGCATCCAAACGGAACTTCGGACCCGCCGCACAACCATCCAAAAGTTCGTCCTGTGGGAACAATCATCGGAAATCCTCAAACAATTCTCCGAAGTCGCAAAACAAGCCGACAACCTTAAAATCTACTCCTACTACATGAAGTACTCCCACACCTACCTGAAGTTATTCCAGCAAAGTGGCCTTAAAACCTTGGAAGATGTCCTCAAGGTCTCAGCCGATCGGGTTAGTCATCTGCTGAGCAGTCTGCAACATGGTACTCGCTATCTGCACAACATCTGCTGTCACACGAAAAACATCAAGGACAACAGTCTGGCAGCGCAGATTCCGTTCATCCGGGAAACGGTGGAGACACTGATCTATAGCGTCAAGGCCTTACTGGCGGCGAACGATTGCGCTTCGGTGTTCTGGATGGGAAACCTGAAGAATAAGGACCTGAAGGGAGACCTGATTATTTCGCAGAACGATGAAGCGGAGAATGACCTGGAGCAGGAAAGCGAAGAGTCTGACATTGAAGATTTTCTCAGTGACGATCAAGAAGATAATCGACCGGCTGCTGCAGCAGCTTTGGGCAAGTCAGGCTCTGGAGCCAAGTCATCGCAGAGTAAATGTTTCTGAGGGTGGCGTGGTGAGTAAATAGGTATGTAGCTGTGTAAAGGTTGTTCGTTATTTTTTTTTTTTTGCTTTCACAGATGAAAAAGACTACCAACGGAAACCCTGTTATGCACAATCATATATTTTTAAACATTGTTTAGTTATTATGCCCAATACATCGTCTTCATAATACACAAGTGGGTGAACTGCCTTCGAAAATTCCTGTATATTGCTGTACCTAGTAATCACGCTGCACTGAAGTGAGGTAAGTTTAATGTCCTCAAATGTATTGCGGAAATCTGCTTCGTTTGCCACGTTCTGTATCTGTATCATTTCCGCTTTGATACACCATAATATGGTAACACCCTAGACACACTAAAGCCTATATTACATGATATAGGTTATCTTGGTATCAGGATCCTACAATATAATGTTTTCACTGGAAAGGAAATAATAAGTATGACGTTTCATATCAATATACTCTATTTCACGTTATATAGACTGAAGTGTGAACGTGGTATACAATAAATCTTTCAAATAAATTATGCCATATTCTCTTGCAACTAAATCCAAATTTATCTAAAAAAAATTAACTTCGGAGATAGAATAACTTAGATTTTAGTTTTTTCGTGAAAAATCTTTAAATTTGAGAAATCTCGATTACTTTTTCAAAGGGACGTATCTGCTTTTGTAAACAAAGATTTTAAACAATTTTGTTGAAACTCTACGCAAACTATTATCACCATCAGAAAGGGTAACGTTTCCCCAAAAGATAGTGTTGTTAGTTTTCGTGAGAGTGCTAAGAGCTTCGAAAAATTGACGTTTGAATCTTTGTTTACAAAAGCAGATACGTGCCTTTGAAAAAGTAATCGAGAAAAGTTTATTCGTAGTTGGTTGGAAATGCTAACAAGAAGCTTTAGTGTGATAATTTATTAGCTAGAGAATGATCTTTAGAAGAGGGTAGGTGGATAGTTCCGTTAGAGTACGGCAGTATGAAAATTGAATAGCAGTTGAAAATGAGCGCAGGGCCATTAATGCGACAGTTTTTTAAAGATAGACGCACATCTTTTGCCTAACCCGTACGATATACGCGGAGACTTGAAGTATGTCTCCAAGTCTACAGGCAAAAAATGTGCGTCCCTTTTTTGCTCATAAACTGACTGCGGCTGTGGAATAGTTCTAGCGACGTTTTCATTACTACCTAAAGCCCCACGTTGCGAAAGCATTTCCAGTCGATGGTGTGTTATAAAGCAATTCTTCTTTACCCAACTATTGTGTTGCTCCTCTCGTCATGACCAACTTGGTCATCTCAGAGAGAAGGCAGTAGGATGGTTGTTGCGTGCTGTACCATCATCAGCATTTTTGACGGTTACTCCCGCCTTGAGTTGTTACATTCAAAGTGTTTTTATGTTACTTCATAGCGATTTTCAGAGTTGGTAAAATTTGGATCCGCTAACTCATTTCTGTTTCATTTGCTCATTAAAAAAAAACTATTTGTCGTATGTGCCACCGATCAAAACATATCTTAATGTTACATACGACACCTAACTTCTATGAAGATGTCAATCTTCGTATGTAACAAATTTTGACAGAAGCGTAAAAACTGTACATACGAAATGTTGTGTTTCATAATAAAACTGCAAATTTTGCAAATCTTCAATGTAAAACGGTTGTGAGTGATCCATAAAATTATAAGTACGCTTACCGTGAGATATTACTAATTGTAATAGTTTTTTAAACCGCTAAAATGCGCACGGTCGAATGTAACACCACGGCATGCAAAAGGTCGTATAATATTGATTGGTTCAAAATGTTTTTGACGTAGGCCTACGTCTGTGATTTCTATACACTTTATGAAAACCGAAAATCGAGCATGTAACATATTATGAAAAATTTTGAACGTTAATAACTCAACTGCCAATGCTTCCGAATGTTGATTTTCAACAAGAAACTATTGAAAAACTGGTAAATGTCCAGCATTGTCCAAAAGCGTCGAATTAACTATCAAATCCATCAATTACCTACATGCATATGCTGCTTCCCCAGCACAGTCGTCAGAGAGTAGTAAGTAGACGAAACAAGTCGAAGTGGCATTCGCCTCCGATCCTCGGGCGGTCCCCATGGTAACTGAAATAAACACGAGTGCGAACCGGTTGGTATTAGTGAGCAGATCCACTGATGAGATGAGGGGCCTCATAGCCTAGTCAGTAAAGGCACGGCATTACCAAGCCGGCGGCGGGTTCGATTCCTTGTCCGGTCGAGGGAATCTTTCGGGTTGGAAATTTCTCGACTTCCCTGGGCATAGCCCAACAAACAATTATTTTAGCTGCAGATTAGCTTATACAGCCAAAGTTTGCCTTATGCAGCTAATTTTTGCCTGTATAAGCAAAGCTGCAGCTAAAATTGTTTGTTGGGAGAGTATCATTATGCTTGCCACGCAATATACAAATTCATGCATTGGTATTGGCACCGAAAGCTCTCAATTAATAAATGTGGAAGTGCGTTTAGAACACTAAGTTGAGAGCACGCAATAGGCTAATATGTGATAAGCAATAAGTTTGATATGTGAAAAAGAAGAAGGAAAAGAGCAGATTCGCTAATACAAGCAATTTACTGGTTGAAAATAATAAACAAATTGATTTTACTCGGTTACACTAGCAAGGTTGTATTAGTGAGATCTTGCGGCGAGAAGTCAATGCAACCCCAAATGGCGTTGACGGCGACTCTGTAGCTCTTTACTCCTATGGAAAATCACGTAAGCAAACGTCAGACTGTGCGTGAAACATGGCGGTTTTTGTACTATCTCTTTACTCCACCGAAAATTCCCTTTAAGATACTGTAAATTTTTGCTACAAGAGACGATTTTTCAACGGTGCCGTCAACGCCAATGATGGTTTGCTTTTTCAAAACAGCATTGCAGTGTCAACATTTCAAAGGGGCGTAATTGCATTTGTAAACAATGGCTTTAGCCGTCGATTTCGCGCGAATAAAAGCTCACTCATGGAAAATAATGACACCAACAGGTAGAGGAATGTTTCCTCTACCAGCTAGCATTGTTATTTTGGAGAGGTAAGATTTCATTCGCGAGAAATTGACGGCTAAAGTCATTGTTTACAAAAGCAATTACGCCCCTTTGAAATGTTGGCACTGATTAGTTTTTTTCCCGTTGTGATTGTCTTTACACACGCAGAAAAAACTATCGTCGAAACAAAAATATTGTATGTATGTATGCAAGTAGCCACCATCCTAGCTTGGGTCTTGCCCTGCATGCGGCTCCACTCAACAGCAAGATCAAATTCCATCATCATTCTGAATTCAACATACTGCTGTATGAAGGACCAAAAAGGGTTGGACGGGCCCGTAAGCAGAGGCACTTACGCGAAACCCGCGGGAATAAGAGAATCTCCTTCCAACAATATGATCCAACAAAATGAATAACGAAATTCGCAATACATGTTAAGCTTTCCACGGGATGGTTTGTTTAAGAAGAGCGCGTCAAATTCATTGCAACTGTTGGAGTGAAATGTAACTATGTATCTAAAATGACAGTACACATTCCCTCCTAGACTCCGGTTGGCACTCCACTCCATTGTCCAGTTACAACTTCAATGATGCCCTGATGTTCCCTCCCGTCCCAGTATTTATTGTAATTTACATTATGAATTTATATATAATTATGTGATATATAAATAAAAAAAAGATGTTTTACAAAATACAAATAACCTAGATTGTTGGGTCCTATACACACACTTTTTGTTTTATGTGCCATGAAATGATATAATTCATCATTGTATGTTTTGAAAACATAATACTAAGTATCGAATCAATAGACCGAAAATCGAGGTTATTTGGACATGAGACATTATATTTAAAAGGATACTACCAAACCGACCATCAAACGCACTGCCCACAAAAGCAGACACGTCCCCTCGAAAATGCAATCGAGAAATGTACAAGAACAATCCTCAACTGGAACGTACTCACCAAATCAATAGATCCGGGAGCGCATTCCCGATGTCGTCGAACGGCAAAAAAAAGGGAACTCGGTGAGCAAATTTGTGATACGGAATTTTCACTGAAAACAACCACGAATTTTACCACACCCAACTGCGAAACACGTTCACTGAAACAAATCGACATATACCGTTTATTGGATCCATCTTATAACATAGCAATGTCAGCAGATTTATTCATTCTATGTGATGATTGATAGATTCCATCGGATTATCACTTAAAAACTATGACTGCGATATGGAATGATTTCTATCGTAATTTCACATACTTAGTACTTGATAAAACTTTGCTTCGAACGTGGTTAGCGATAGGTACGATGTATATGAATATTGTCTGATATATTTCATTGTGAAAAACTGTTGATATGTCTTGGGTGGGAACAGACATCTAGAAACTAATGGAAAATCATATAAGTTTGCACTATGGGAAAATTCAGTAAAATATACCTGTTTTAATGATGAATATTGCTCACTAAAAGATATATCTTATAAGATAATCATGTATATTTTATTGGAGTTGCTTTTAACGATTTTTGACGTTTGTTGATATGTCGCATGTAAACAGACATGTAGAAACTATTGGACTGTCATTTAACTTTGCAGTATAGGAAAACATGTATATCTCATTGGAATAGCTTCCTTTGATTTTTGAGGTTTAAAGATTGTAAACAGATCTATCTCAATCATTATATAAATAGTCATATAGATTTGCCTTTTAAGAAATCCAACAGCAAACATTTGTTTTGGCATGGTTTTCCGGGATGAATATCGCTCCCAATAAAAAACATCTTACATGATTGTTCTTTATAAATTATTGAAACAATTTTCAACGATGTTATCGTACACTCATTAAAATGATTAGTCGAACTAAATATAGCTAATAACAATGATACTGTATTGAATAATCCTTGTTTGTTATTGTTCCATAAGACAAGGGATTCCGGAAAGAATGTATTGAGATTGAAAAAAAAATGATTCTACTGCAATATTTACTATATTAACATTCTAATTGTAAGCGTGTAGAAGGGCTTATTCAGATTCCAGCACTAGTACTCGAACTTCATGAACCAGTTTCATGAACTCATATAATGTAGTCGTTGTTTTATTGCACACAGCAGCATTATGAAAGATTTGAATACACGACACCACCGAAACGGAGCATAAATTAGTCAGTGTTATTTTTCTTCACTCTATAGTAAAACGAGCATAACGTTGCACATTCCATGTTGGGAGAGCTGTTCTTACTTCATGCTAATTGAACGAGCTTAATATTGTAGTCAGCATTGGCCCAGTGGAATCGAGCGCAAACACCGAAAGCATCACACCTCAACAGTTCTGGATCGAATCCCAAATCAGTTACAATAAAAAAAGATACAACTGTGAAAGCTTCCACTGCCTGATGTTTATTTTTAGATTTATTTTTAGAAATCAATTAAATATACGTGTCAAAAGAAGAAATACATTTCATGTGATTTTCACATAAAATTTACTTCGATTGATTTATGACACATATATTATATTGTGGTGAAAAGTAAAGCTTATGCTTATAGGTTTCAAATCCATTTCAGTTATTTATTATAATTTGACCGATTTTCATTTATCATATGACGATCATATAAAAGTTAACAAATTATCAGCATTGTAAATGTATCAGATATTCATATAGAATTTACCTGACATATTTTCAATCATATCATTTTCAATGGATTATCTTATAGCGCAAATTTATTAGACTTCCACATAACAGGAATATGTCAGATTGGTTCAGTGTTCAGAAGCACTTTTGGTACACTCGCGATGCCACAAATTTCTGGTCCGGGAGAAACAATCAAACCACGCAGCGATAAATCTTCTGATGCTTGCAATTTTGCAAACATGATGAATCATGTTTCTTTCTCGATTCTAAAACTTCTCGGAAAGCGAGAAAACCACCACACACGTAGGGGAGGCAGAGTGCCAGCGCTAATCCGGCAAATGCAGCCGAAAACTATGAAAGCGAACGCACAAAACAGAGAACAAACACAACCGTATCCAAAGGGGTTCCGTGCGCCCTCGTCGAAACAAAAATATTTGAGGTAAATTCTAACGTAAACTCAGTTTGTTCTGGCCAAAAACATAAATTAGGTTGATTTCAAACGTATTCCATGTTTGAAGTCATGTGAAATCAATGTTTAAAATAAAAATAATGTTACGTTTATTTCAAAAATATTCGTGTTGAAAATAAACGTATTTGTTTTTGTTTGGTTTGACAGCTATGCGAACAATAATAAATATGTTTATTTTAAACATGCTTCTCATGTTTAAAATAAACATATATATTTTGAAATTATTGTAGTATTTGAGTGCAGGGTAAAGCAAAATAAAACGGTTTGCAAAGAAATAATAAAATAAGATCTTCGGGCAGGGCATCTAAATTCCTGCTCTTTTTTTGGGTGCGATTAAGGGTGACCTGTGGGAATTGGTGGGGTCCTGGTCCAGGATGCGAGGACCCGTCGGGGTGGGTGTCCGGGGATTCTAGTTCAGTGGAACTGGTGCAAATTTGTGTTATTGGCGTCGTTTTGCCTTTTCTGCCTCGGTTCCTGCCATTGGTCTTCATACCGGTTTCTTTCTATGTTCGGAATCTTCGGAATGGATAATCGTTTTCTGTTGAGGTAGAGCAAATGCTGGGCCAACTTTTTTCTGAATGTAACAAGAAGGAAATAAAAAGGCATGACACGCTAAAAACCGTTTACCCAAATCCTATATTGTTGAAATAAACATGCTTTTGAATTTAATTTAAACATAAATATTTTAGTTTTAAATATGCTTTCAATTTACTTTGAATAATTCATATGTTTAGAGTATAAACATTTATATTTTTGTTTTAAATGCACAAAATTCGTATCCGTGCAGACGGCTAAGACCATAGTTTGGTCCATCTCGCCTCACAGCATTGGTTTTTAAATCAAGTACATTGACCTTTCTGACGTTTAAACTTTTAATTAAGCACACTTTTGTAATCACATTTTCAAGTGCGAAGCTCCAGCCAAACACTTTGTTTTTTTTATTGCTATCCTCACTTTTCGACCATCATCAATGCTCAAGCATATAAATCAAGAGCAAATTTTCATTATGTCGTAAGTAACATTCGCACCAATCCGAGAAAAATAAAGTTTTGTTTTGATGACCGAAAAGTTATTCCTATTTCCAAGTAAACACATATAATCTCATAGTGATAGCAATGTTTAACATATTTAGCAGGGTTTTAATCATACAAATGCACACCGCTAGCTTTCATGCTAAAAATACTGGTTTTTGAGTCAAAAGTTATTATACGTCGTTTGGTGGCCCCTATTGTTACTTAAGTCAAAGTGTATTTACCAGGATATTCGGGAGAATTATCAATTACGTCTCCTTACGTGCAGCCCATTCATCATTTTAGGACCACCGAAATCATCTTAGCAACAAACAGTTCGATTTATTCACTTTAATAATGAGAAAGCGAAACGACGAACGTACACTTTTCACGGGTTTCTCAGCGCTGTTACTTAAGTCAAACGGCATCTCCATAGAAATTGGGTGACTTAAGTAACATCGAAAACTATTTTGATCGGAAGGTGATTACGTCAAAAAGCAATTTGACTGGTAAATAAATTTAAAAATGGGATTTGATCCTATATTCGGACAGTATATAGTGTAATAGCAGGAGAATCGATTGACACTGATAGCTCGACTTTATTTACCTTTGTTACTTTCGACGTAATGAAAATTTGCTCTTGAAATAGAAAGGACTATAGATGACACATCTTGCCCCACCATACTCTACATCTCAGCATTTCCCGAAAAGTTTCCGTCTTGGTCCACATTCAGGTAAGTGAACTTGAATTAAAATGATTAAATTTAATAATATTTAGTTGACCTAATTGAAGGGTGCGGTCGCACATCGATACCCCTGTAGTATTTTTTTCCACCGGCTGACCGCTCGGATGCCGAGTTTTGACAGCTGTCGGCGAGCGAAACGTAAACAACTCGCGATTCGTGGAAAGCGGCGTTCGAATTTGTTTACGCTTCCCAAAAGCGTCGAAGAGTTTGAACGGTTTGAAGGTCTTCCTGACATCAATCTATGTACTTTTAAAGCTTGTTTTAACATTTTTAATGAGTGCAAATAATCATGTCGTGTAATTATGCTGATGGCTTATCCGACTACAAGCACAAGGGCGTGTTGGGCGTTCCAGAGGTGAGAATTAAAATCGATCAACGATAATGGGAGTATAATTTTTCTGTCTTGCAGGTTTTCGATGATGAATCAACGGTAGACGAAAAATGCGAACAACTAGCGAAGTGGATTCTTGGATCAAAACATGTAGTGATTCACACCGGAGCTGGAATAAGCACCAGTGCCGGTATACCGGATTTTCGTGGACCGAAGGGTGTTTGGACATTGGAGAAGAAAGGGGCGAAGCCGACGGTAAACGTTGCTTTTGACGAAGCCATTCCAACAACAACTCATATGGGATTGAAAGCTCTGGTGGAAGCAGGATTTATTAAGTACATCATTAGCCAGAACATTGATGGACTGCATTTGAGATCCGGACTGGAGCGGAAATACTTGGCAGAACTTCATGGCAATATGTTCATAGAGCAGTGTCTGAAGTGCAGACGCCAATATGTAAGAAACAAGCCGGCTCCAACGGTTGGGAAAAAGTTGACTGGTGATGTATGCAAGGGTACAAAGAACTCCCGGGCTTGCCGAGGCGGTAATCTCATTGATAACATTTTGGATTGGGAACACGATTTACCTGAGGATGATTTGGAGTTGTCATTTATGCATTCCGCATTGGCGGATTTGAACATTTGCCTTGGAACGACATTGCAGATAATTCCCAGTGGAAACTTGCCTCTTAGGAATAAGCGATATGGCGGAAAGCTGGTTATTTGTAATTTACAACCTACAAAACATGTGAGTGCTGATTGTTGCGGTCTTAACGATCAATTAATCATATTGTCGAGCAGTTTTGGGACGACCTTCTACCAGCGATTTTGTGAAAATGAAGCAATAAATTCCTGATTTTTCTAGCTTAGCATAAATAAGATATTTTTCCTTGAGGTCTAGAATTTTTTTTTTTCAAAATATTGTTCCACGACAAAGTTTGAGTGGTAGGAAACGTCATTTTAAACTGGTCGTATGATGTGATCCATTGTGGATTATTTCTGACGAGTTTGTTTTCATTTCAGGACAAGAAGGCAGACCTTAAAATATCAACCTATGTGGACGTGATCATCGAGAAGGTTGCCAAACGGCTGGGTGTGGAAATTCCCAGCTACACGAAGGAAGTGGATCCAACCAAGGCCAGCCCGTGCTCGTTGGAGTGGACCATTCCTTCCGAGGAAGTAAAGCTTCTTGATAAGCACTACGGGAAAACCATTCGTGAATTATCCAACGATCGAAAGAATAAGTCTTTGAATAACAGCCGTAATGAGAAATTGGATTATTTTAAATGTAAACCCAAGAAGCTAAAAAAGGAGGAACCAGTCGAGAATACAATCGATGTTAGAAATAGTGTTAAGCAAGAAAAATCGAGTGCTGAATAAAATAACGCTATAGACAAAACAATCCACCGGGAACAGCCCCGGCTTAGGTTAACATTCTTACCTCTCACGCCAAAGTCACGAGTTCAGATCTCATCACGAATGACCCAAGAGTGTTGAAGGGACTCCCTTCAAGGCACTATATTAAAAAAAATGTATTCCACCGAATTAACCATTTAGTCCACCAGTTTTGGGACATCTTACTACCAGAGGTTTTAAGAAAATAAGGCAACAAATTTCAGTTTGATTCTACAACATTACCCGGAAATCAATTTCCCAGAAGAACATCACCCGAAAAGAACCGTTTTCCGGAATCAAATTACACTCAGGTCTTTTTTTTACACGGGGGATACGTATCGTGTAAAAAAAAACTACTGAGATTTTGTTTTTTAACATGCTTAAATATTTTTTTATAAATCGGATTTTGATGCCATTCGTAATTATAGCATGCTATGGTCCGATTAAGTGTGTAGACATATTTAAAAAATGTCATTCGATTACCTATAGCTTGAAACGGATAACGTGATTAGAATCAAGTCAATAGGTTGTATCGTTGTCGAGAAATCGTTAAAAACGTACCGTGTAAAAAAAGACTTCAGTGTATATACTTGCTTGAGTATCTCTTCCTTTTCCTGAGATCTTGATTTTGACAATATGTTCCGATCTTTTAGAGAATAGTCCTCTCCAGGCGGGTTCGTATTGGTGCGATTTGCGTGTGTTAGTGAGATGAAATTTTTTGTTAGCTGTGAGAATTTTTACGTACTGCTCAGTCCTTTGGTTCTGCTTGGTTTCCAGCGCTACAACCCAGGCTGGCTCCATACCTCAGTATCGACGACGACACACTTGTTAGAAGACGCCTCTTGCTACTGCTGGGACCAGAGTTGTTGGGCATGATTCTAGCTATCGCGTTGATGGCCAACAAAACCTTCTCACATTCATATTCGACGAGGCTGTCGAAGTTTAGCCGGTCATAGATCACTCCCAGGTTATTCAACACGCGCTTTCTATGCTATGGCGTGCTGTGCTCATGCACTCCTCATACTCTCAGCGCTAGCTGGCGTTGCTAGATCACTTATCTTCTCTTCATTTACGCTGCAGATCCGACCTAATTTGCGTGACTGCCCTGTTGACGACATTCCAAGTGCCCTCCTCTCGACACATTCATCGACGACATTCTCGTTAAGGACGGGCATCTCCCTTCGCATTGCCTCGAACCTTGCTTGGTTTCCAGCGCTGCAACCCTTGTTGGTTGGGCCCTGGCCAGAGCACGCCTCTTGCTACTGCTTGGACCAGTGTTGCTCGGCATGATTCTAGCTATCGCGTTGATAGCCTTCGAAGCCTTCTCACAGGCGTATTCGATGTGGCTGTTGATGTTTAGCCGATCATCGATCATCAGTCCCAGGTTATTCAACACACGCCTCGAGGATTTTAAATATGGCATCTTTGGTACGAATTTGAATGTACACTCAAAAAAATCTAAACTTACTAGTTTAAAAGTCTCATTAAATCGCTATTCGCCTGGTTGACCCATAAAGAGAGAGAATATGAGGTTAGGCTGTGTTCCAATTCTCGATCACTTTTTCGAGGGGACGTATCAGCTTTTGTAAACAATGCATATGATCGTCGATTTGGCGTAACTGGTAGCTCGACCAGGCATGCTAACACCACCGACAAACTAACATGACACTTAATTCTGACTCATGCCCGAAAATCGTAAACGGCCGATTTAAATCTGCAGTGATCCGAATTGTCAAAACCATATTTTTTTTATCTAGATAAAAATTATTTGTTCAGAATAGACCAGACACGAACCAATTAACAATTTTTGCATGCGGGTTCATGGCTTAGCTAAAAAATTTCCCGCAAACACGGTGCGAGATGTCAGTAGTGTGCTTTCAACCGGTGAACACTCGTGTTTATTTCAGTTACCGTGTGGACGTAATTTGTGATTAGCCCCTGTCCCTTTCAAATTGTATCATTATTTATGTACGTTCCTTATATTTGAAATGACGTTTCACATTCATCTAGTGATGGCCGATTTTCATTCGAATACTCGATTAATCGATTAACGAACCGAAAAGTAAAATTGTAATCGGTTATATCATAGAGGTAACTCTAAGACCACTGGGTCCCGAAGAAAATCATTATTATTTTTGGCTCACTCAGTACCAGAACAACGGTCCCAAGCAGTCCCAAGCTATTTCACTCACCCCTGCATGTTCTGCATGAATCCACACACCCCTGATGTTATCTGTCAAACTTTCATAGCGAATCAAAACAAACATAGTGTAGTAATAGAATTTCAACTAGAATAGGGTACGTTAATCGTTTGCTTGGGACCAATAGGCTACTAAAGTGATGAGCCAATTTAAAATCGTTAGTTTCGTATTGATTGTTGGTTATATCATGCCGATATAAGCATTAACATCTCCAGAGGATCATCACCCATCGTTTCAAACATGTGCTGCACTCTCATTGGTGGAAAAATGACAGCACAGCGAAAAAAAAATCGAATAGTTGTTAATCGAGCAATTGAAAAATGGGACATCTCTGATTTTGGTCTGATTGTTTTGATAAAAATGAGCGAAAAATTTCATCTCTACCGAGGGAGCAGCAAAACCACAAAATTACCTTGAATACGGGGGGTATTCATTGGATGAAAAGGACCGTGAAAGAGGACACTAAAATAGAAAGTTTTTCTTCCGACAGTTTCATCTTAGTATTCACAACAATCAATACGAAACTAACGATTTTAAATTGGCTCACTACTTGACTAGCCTATTGGTCCCAAGCAAACGATTAACGTACTCCATTCTAGTCAAAATTCTACTACTACAGAATGTTTGTTTTGATTCGCTATGAAAGTTTGACAGATAAAATGAGGGGTTATTGGTTTTTCCTATGTTTCGGGGGGTAAATCGATTAGCTTGGGACCGAAGAAAGTACCAGAGCTGAGCCAAAAAGTTGAGCACGTTATTTCGGGACCTTCTAGTCTTAGAGTTACCTCTATGGTATTCATCTTTGGTGCTTTGGTCAGAAATTTTATTGATTTTGCTATGGTCATTCATGTCGGTTTGTCGGTGCTAACACTGCCATCAGATAGGGGACATTTACCATTACCTGATAGTGGTGTTAGTATGCAGGGGTGAGCTACCAGTTATGCCAAATCAACGATCAAATCGAGGATCAAATGCATTTTTTACAAAGCAGATACGTCCCTTCGAAAAAGTAATCGAGATTTGGTGAATTTTCACTTAAATTTGCCGCTTTGTAAATAAATTAAAATGTTCGAAAATCCCTCTGTTGTTGATCTTCCTATTTTCGTGAAGGTGTTTGTCAAAATTGATTCCTGGTCTGTCAGAGATAAGTCTGGTACAATCAAGGGGGGGAGGAGGCTGTCAAATACGAACAATCGTCGCCTACCTCGCATGCCTCGCATTACTGGTTCCAAACGTAAACAAGCCATAAGAAACTTACAGCGTTTGTTTACGTTTGGAACCAGTTTCATACAAGAATGATCAGTAGGCTGATTTGACAGCACGTCCCCCCCCCCCCAGGGTACAATAGCAGGTTTATTTGAACATTTTACATCTGTCAAATTTAAGTGAAAATTCACCAAATGGAACAAAACCTTAGTATAAAAATGCTTTATGCATATATAGTTTAAAGTGCAAGTATTTTTTCGATGCTTCCTCGGGATTTATATGAATTTAGGGCTTGCTGTTACTGTGATTTCGTTTTTTTGTTTTTTATTGTAAATGGAGCAAAAGTGCAAGATTAAAATCTTCTAAATACATACCAACTGAGCATATTAACCTTCAAACTGAGAGACAAAATAACTAAATTCAACGACAATATTGAATTGGGTTCATTAATTTTGAAAAATGTTTAAATATCATCTGAAAGAGCTTCGTTTTTGGAGCACAGCGATATTTTTTCCGAATCCACACACTTTCATCTCGATTTTTAAATCAAGATTTAAAGCAAAATAATAACTTCACTGTTTGACACTAAACTAACAAACTGACAGCTTGCTCCCATATAAAGTGACACCGACGGGCGCTAATAAGGTGATTTTTGCAAATGTAATCGTACTTATTTAAAATAGTTCCAGTGTACCAAAATTGATGAAATTTTGGGTTTGGGTTCCATTTTTTATGCAGATTACGAATATGCATTTACCTCAATACCCTTAAAGAACCCAATTCTGGGGGGGAAAACTTGAAAATTCACAGAGTTTCTCGAGCTGTGAATTGTTAATAAATAATTATCCTCGAAATTTATACATTGGGAAGACTTTTTTACTATTATTCATACTAATTATAACATTCAGACTATGATAGTGTAGTTTAATTTAAGAAGCGTATACAACCGATGTACACTCATAAAATTCTACACATTTTTATTGTCAAATTTTCATGTAAAATTCCACATGATAATCATGTGTCAAAATATTTGAAAAACATGTTTTTTTTTAATCTTATATTGAATTGTTGTTATAGACTTCTCTGACGTTCATGAATTGCACTAGTATCAGTGCAGAAATTTGGGTAAACTCAAAGGTTTTCTTACACTAATACTTATAATCTCTGGTCACGTCTTCCTTCGGAAGGGAAGTAAAGCCGTTGGTCCCGGCCCATGTGTATATGTGTTGAAAGGGTGCGATATCCTACGCAGGTGTGGAAGCTGCCTTCCTGCACATTCGATTGCCGTCAATGGATGGCAATCGATGTCCGTCGGTGATTGGCACTAGATTGCGGAACAGAGACCGACGTTAAATAAACGAAAGATCACTTATAATTTCAGGCATAACATTTGATAACGACCTAAAAGCATTTGTACACAAACTTTCTAAGGCCCTTTACACGCGAACCAAAGTACGCCCACGCAAACCAACAACATCATCGGATAGGGACAACTATCACTTTTCACGGAGAACAAATTATAGCAGACGTAATTATGTTTCCGGTTAAAATAACTATATTGTTCAATTGTTTTAGAGA